CATTGTCCAAGGGATAAAACACAATCTTTCATGCCCCTCCTTCTTCTAAGAAGTCAGGCTTATAATTCCAGCCCTCTAACCATGAGGACAGACTTTAGGTGGGGTCTGTTTCACCCTTAGCTAGGTAGGCTACCTTTGCACAAACCATGAGTCACTTTTGTGGCATAAACTATTGGGTCTTACTGTAAATAGCAAAGATAATTCCATCACTCAAGAGATCCCAAAGATTTGGAGTTTACCTCCTGGGAAACTGAGATTAAATTTAAATTTCTTATTATACAATGGTATGCCTAAAACTACTTGTACAAATAAAATGGCTCATGATGGACAACTGCTTTTATTCTGGGAACCTAGAATTTAGATAAATGCCAGTAAGGAGGTGCCTATATGATCAATTCCCAGTAGAAAAAAAATCTTGGCAATGACTCTTCATGGGCATCTGTGGTTGGCAATATTTCACGGGAGTTTTTGCTACTCATTACTGGAGGAATTGAGCTCATTCTGTGGGACTCCACTGGGAAAGAACTTTTAGATGGCTGTGTTTGGTGCACCAAAAATTTTACCTCATGCTTTTAATGCTTTGGTGACTGTGCTTGGCATCCTTTCACTATAATAAGTCATGATCAGATGTGCTATACGGGGAGGAGATGTAGACCCACCACAGTACTCACAGCTGAAGTGGAAACTGACCTGTAAAGATACAGGAAATTCCACCATGATAACTGGCACCAAAGTACCCCATCAATAACAGACAAAACAATGAAACTGAACAAAATAAGAAAACAGGCCTTAACTCTATATCCTAGCAGATGTAACAGATTATATAGAACAGGATACCAACAACAGCATCCATATGCATATTTTTTTAAAAGATTTATTTATTTTATTACAAAGTCAGATATACAGAGAGGAGGAGAGACAGAGAGGAAGATCTTCCGTCCAATGATTCACTCCCCAAGTGAGCCACAACGGATGGTACTGCGCCAATCTGAAGCCGGGAACCAGGAACCTCTTCCGGGTCTCCCATGTGGGTGCAGGGTCCCAAAGTATTAGGCTGTCCTCGACTGCTTTCCCAGGCCACAAGCAGAGAGGTGGATGGGAAGTGGAGGTGCTGGGATTAGAACCGGTGCGCATATGGGATCCCGACACGTTCAAGGTGAGGTTTAGCTGTTAGGCCATGCCACCGGGCCCAGTATTTTTTAAAGATTTATTTTATTTTTAAAAGGTAGAGTGACAGAAGGAGAGACAGAGATTTTCCATTTGACTGAAGCCAAAACCCAGAACTCCATTTGGACTCCTGTATGGGTGGCAGAGACTTAAAGGCTTGGGCCATCTTCCATGCTTTCCCAGGCCATCAGCAGGGAGCTGGATCAGAAGTGAAGCACCAATGCTCTGATATTGAATGCCAGAGTCAAAAGCAGCAGCATAATTTGTATCTGTATTCTCCTCATGGAAGAATACATGAGATATTTTGAATATTGAGCTCCAAATTAAATCTTGGTAAATTTCACTTTTTTTTAAAAAAAGGATTTATTTATTTTTATTTCAAATGTAGATTCAGAGAGAATGAGAGACATAAAACTCTTCCATCCTCCAGTTCACTCCCCAGCTAGAGCTGAGCTGACCTGAAGCCAGGAGCCAGAAGGCCCCTTGGCGTCTCTTCCTCAGGTGCAGGGTCCCAAAACATTGGGCCACTCTCAGTCCCTGCTTTCCAGCTTTCTTATGCCATAGCATGGAACTGGAAAGAAAATGGAGCATCTGGGGCACAAACTGGTGCCCATATGGCATGCTGGCACTTGCAGGTAAGGATTGGCCCATTGAGTCGTTGGACTGGCTCTTCATTTTTTTTTTCTAGATTTGTTTTATTTATTTGAAAGGTAAAATAACAGAGTAAAAGAGGGACACACAGAGGAAGTAATTTTCTAAATCTCACTCCTATGACAAGACATACTAACAAGAGAAAAGTTTAACATATTCCCTTGAAGTTTTATATGACATAGGAACCTTCAGATGGGAAGACTGAAGGGAAAAGGCCCTGCAGAGGTAGAAGTTCACTAGGATAAAGTGACACAGACTTAAACATTTGAGCAAAAACACATTTGTTATGTGCATGGAGACTATCATCTAATGCAACCACCCAGCACAGCTTAGAAGCATGCATCTCCCAGTTTCTATAAAGCATGAGAGAACGGGCCACCTTGGCAATTTCTCAGGGAAGGATCACTGTGCAAAATAAATGGTTCTGGAGACAGAAATCAGTTTTCAAAGTGGTTCTCTTTGAAATCCTAGGATTGTCACCATGGTATATCATGCTAAACCTGTGCCTGTGGTACTAACATCCTAAATGGGTGCCAGTTAGAGTCTTGGATGTTCCACTTCCAAACCAGCTCTCGTTGAAATTTGAATGAGCCCAAGATAGGCACCTCACAAGGAAGGCAAGTCCACATGCAAGTACATGGCTCTGATTCATTTCTGAGGTAGAAAAGGAGATTGCAGCATATGGATGAAAGGGAAGGATTATGTTGCTTTTTGCAATTGGGTCTTAACGCAAGTAAGAAAATTCCAGAAAGAACTTTCTGCCTGTCTTTGGGTTGACAGAAACAATAAGAGATTAAAGGGACCTTGATTTCTGAGCCTGCCTTTTTTTTTTTTTAAAGATTTATTTATTCAGAGTTACAGAGAGAAAAGAGATTGATCTTCTACCTGTCAGCTCTTCAGTTGGCTGTAACAGGTGTTGCTGAGCCAGTCCAAAACTAGGAACCAGGAGCTTCTTCCAGGTCTCACACATAGGTGCCGGGTTCCAAGGATTTGAGCCGTCCTCTGCTGCTTTTCCAGGCTACGAGCAGGGAACTGGATGGGAAATGCAGCAGCCGAACAGAAACCAGTGCCCATGTAGGATGCGGTGCCACAGGCAGAGGCTCAGTGTACTATGGCATGGTGCCAGCCTCCTTAGCCTGCTTTTGAGGCTTCTTTTAGATTCAGTGCTGAGCTTGCCAAAAACACTGTTTTCAGTATCCTTTGTGCTCCAGTTCTTTGATGAAGAACGAATATCCAGGCAGACATTTGATTGGACAAAAAAGGTGTGATCTCATCATCATAAACTTGGGCTGCTGTTGTGGACATTTGGCACAACAATGAAGCCACTGGGATGCCTACGTCCCATAACCAAGTTCCCAGATTGAGGCCTGGCTTCCCCCTCTTCATTCTAGCTTCTTGTTAATGCACACTTTTGGGGGCAGTGATGTTGACTTAAGTACTTGGGTCTCTGCCACTTGGGTCTCTGGACTGAGTTCCAGACTCCTGGCTTCAGCCTAGTCTAGTCCCGGTCGTTGTAGCCATCTGGGAAATCAACAAGGGATTGGGTAATTTCTGTCTTTTCACTCTTGCTCTTTCACTCACTGTCTCTCTTTCTCCTCCACTGCTCACAGTAACTCTGCGTTTCTTTTTCTTTTTAAGATACATTCTTGATAAGGATTTTTCAGATTTATTTATTTTTATTGAAAGATTTACAGAGAGAAAGAGCTTTCATCTGCTGGTCCACTCTCCAAGTGGCTGCAGTTGCCTGAGCTGAGCTGATCTGAAGCCAGGAGTCAGAAGCCTCCTCTGGGTCTCCCATGCAGGCGCAGGGTGCCAAGGCTTCTGACTGTCCTCTACTGTTTTCCTAGGCCACAAGCAGGGATCTGGATAGGAAGCAGGGCTGCTGGGACACAAACTGTATATGGGATCCCGGCGCATGCAAGGCAAGAACGTTAGCCGTTAGGCTATCACACCAGCCTGTAACTCTGCCTTTCAAACAAGTAAAATAAATCTTAAAAAGAAAAACTTTGTTATTGATAAAAATGGATTGGAAGTGTTGAAAACAATTTTCAAAATTAGAAACAAAGCAGACACATAAGTATTGCTCCAGATGGACAAGTGTTTGAGCCATTTCCACTCTTTCCAAAGCACACAGGAGGGAACTGGATCGGAAGTAAAGCAGCTGGGGCTGGAAAATGGGGACTGGTACCATATGAAAGGCTGGCATCGCAAGTGGCATCTTAACTCACTGTACCACAATGCCAGCCCCAAAAGATGATATGTTTATCTCTCTGTCTGAGTTAGCATTTATTGTGGATTCAGGCCCTGCTTAGTGCTTGAAATCTGGGATGACTAAAGTGGGCTTCAGGACCTGTTTTAGGGGGAAGGGCAGCTTCCTTCTCTGAGGTCAGAAATCGTGTGGCCCACAGTCACTATGGCCCAGTGCCCTGATACTGTCAGGTAGCATTACAGCCAAAGCCCCCTGTAAGTATACAATGGGATAAGTTCAGCTTTCTGAGGGGCCAGAAATACTCCTTGGTTTATTTTCCACTCACTCTTGGTTTAAAGAGATTTATAAGCAGGGAGAACAAAGGTAAAATGAGCAGAAGTGGGACAGGTGTCGTGACGTAGCAATTTGCCATTTGGGATACCCACCTCCCACATCGGAGTACCCGGTATGAGTCCTGGCTAAGCCTGCTTCAGATCCAGATTCCTGCTTGAGAGCCCATTTGGAGGCAGATGGTGGCCAAAGTGCTTTGTCCCCTGTGCCCTGCATGGGAGACCTGAACTGAGTTCCAGGCTCCTGGCTGAAACCTGGCATAGCCCTAACAGTTGTAGTTGGTAGTCTGAAGACTCAGCCTTAGCAAAACATTTTCTCAGCAAGGGAGCACTCTCCAGGGCAGGGGGAAGCAAACTCACCAGGGCACTCCATCTACCTCTGCTGTATTCAGAACCCATGACTTGGAGTATCTGTAAATATCCAATTCCATGTGCAAAATGGAATCAGTGATGCTCAGCTGGCAGGTTCTTTGGAAGATGAAATAACTATTATCTATAAAATATTTGACACTATGGTGTTGTTGTTTAGTAGTTGTTTGACAATAATATCAATTATTCTATAATTATGGGATTTGCTTTTGAGACTTATTTTTATTTGAAAGACAGAGGTACAGAAAGAGAAGGAGGGCCAGAGAAAGGGAGAGATGAAGCTGCTTTCTGCAATCCTCCTGAAAGGTCTCGAGGTAAGGCAATGGAGGCCCAGCAGAAGACCACTAGAGAAAGGAGATGACCAGGATGGTCGTCCCCAACTGGTCTGCCCATTGAGTGTAATAGTGAAGCTTATATATGGGCGATTAACAGGAACCCAGAGCATTAGTAACAGTAACTTTAATTCCCCCCATCCACTAATCAACCTAAAGCTTAGTTTTAGATACAATCCTTGCTGAGGAGAGCAATCTGCAAGCCTGACCTGACCACAGGGGCCCCTAATTGGTTCCTTCATGAGACTACTGCAAAGTGGGGGCTTCTAAGCAGAGAAAAACTGGATCTGTATGTTGGTTCCTGGGCCATCTGTCTGCCATCAGGTCAAATGGGGTCTCAGTTTGCCAAGCTCCTTGCTGGTTTCCTGGAGGTGCAGTGTGCTATGCCCTCATGACCTCTTGCATAGGCCTGGAAGACTGGGATCCATGGGAGTACCAAGAGAGAGAGAGAGAGAAAGAGAGAGAGAGAGAGCGAGCTATTTTCAATTCACTGATTCACTCCCCACATGGCCTCATCAACTGGAGCTGGGCTGATATGAAGCCAAGGCTTGGGCTCTTCTCCCACTGTGTCCTATTAGCAGGGAGCTGGGTCTGAAGTGGAACAAGTGGGACTTGAACCAGTGCCCATATAGGATGCTGGCACCACAGACAGAGTTTATCCTATTATGCTCTGGTGCCGGTCTTGACTATGGAATTAAAAAAAAAAGGATTTAGTTACTTATTTGAAAGGCAGAGCAACAGAGAGAAAAAGGGAGAGATCTTCTATCCATTGGGCACTCCTCAAAAGGCTGGGACTGGATCAAGCAGAAGCCAGGAACCAGGAACTCCATCCAGGTCTCCTATGTCGATGATGAGGGCCCAAGGACACAGCTCATTAGCTGGAAGGTGGAAGCAGGGCAGCTGGGACTGACATCATCACTGTAATATGTGATACTGTAGTTGCAAGCGGTGATCTAACCAACTCTGCCCAATGTCAGCCTTAGTTGTGGAATTTTTGACTATAATCTAATTCTTTTTGACTCTTCTAGGGGTTTTTGTGGCCTGGGGCATAATGGTATACTTTTCTGAGGTAAAAAATCTTATCATTTGTAGTTTTGAATGCCCTCCCTGAAATGTCTAAGTTGAATCCAAATTTAGAGAACCCGCAGTAAATGGAAGTTCGGCTCAAAGCAAGCTTTATTGGGAGCACTCCCAGGCAAGATTCACAAGCCCAATGACAGCAGGCCAGAAAAGTTGCACCTGGGGTGGAAGGTTGTGAGTTTCTACTTTTATACCTAGGTCAAAACAGGAAGTGGGGTGGGGCCTAGCAGGGGAAAGAACTTTTCCTAACATGGTAATATGAGTACTGATAGGTTCCCTCTGCCCTGGTCAGGGCCATACATCACTTCTGGGTTATGCAGGGGCTTCTGGGCATTGTAGTCTACTGACCTGATTGCATCAGCCATTTCCCCCTTCCAGATGCCTTCTTTCTTCAGGATGTCCCTCATCCACCCAGGCTGGGCCTTTTACTGCCTATATGCTGGTGATTTCCTGTATGAGGATATTTGCTCCTCTACAATAGCCCTCCTACTCCATACCCTAAAATATTTTACACCTAAAAACTCTGGAGGGTGGAAATAACATAGTGGAAATAACCAGGGTCAAAGAGTTTGATTTACAAGGAAACTATGTGTGAAAGTGGCCCCACAATCAGGAATTAACCTTTTGGCAGGCACAGCTATGGCTGAGCTTCCGCCATCAGTTCTGAGCTTCAACTGGGCCAAGAATCCCTTGAGTGACTGAATCTGTTTTGTGGCTTCCTGCAAGAATAGAATTCCTTTTCTCCTCTGGGAGAGCAGGCTAGAGTTCAATATCCTTTCTGCCTAAACCAACAAGGTAAAATTTGTTGCTTGTCACTAACAACTTGACTGAATACATTTTTAAGTAAACAAACACTAGAGAATGTCCCTTTATCTCACTGTTCCAGGAGTCGGTGGTTGTCATGATTATTTTTCTCTGCTGAGTTTATGTCTTATGTCCACGAAAATAGGAGCACCAAGAGTGGGTAAGGTGGGTCATTCAAAAGAGTGCAGAGAAGTCAAAACAAAAACAAATGACTCTCTTAGCATCACAAGAGAGGTCCACGAAGAATTTTGTAGCAATTTTGTAGGCTGATTGGAGTTTTTTAGAATGTAAAAATGGGTGGTTCTTGTGATCGGGGGAAAGGGATGTTTTGATTGGTCAATTGAATGATCATTCCAGTCAAGACTCAACAGAAAACATATAAAACTTTGGCTAAACTGCACAGAATCCTCACTACCTAGATCAGCTACCACAGCACAGAAAAACCATGATTACAAGGACTAGCAATGACATCACTTTCCTTCACAAAACCCATTTTCTCAGGTCCTCTGCAACTGTATCTTCATATAGTGGGATGCAAGAGTTACTAAATACGAGGGCATTTCAACAAGTTTTTGGAAAGTCCGAATTATCTTTTCAATCTTTTTCTTGAAAATTTATTTTTATTTGAAAGGCAGATCTTATAGAGAGGGACAGACAGATGGTGATCCTCCATTCACTAGTTCACGCCCCAAATGCTTCCAACAGGCACAGCTGAGGTGATCCCAAGCTGGGAGCCAGAAGCCTCTTCCAGGCCTCCCATGTGGGTGCAGGGTCCCAAAGACTTGGACCAATCTGCCCTCCCAGGTTACTTCTGGACCAGAAGTGCAGCTGGGACACAAACCACTGTCCATAATGGGATGCCAGTACCACATGGTACAGGATTAGAATGCTGCACCTCTGCACTGATCCCAGCACTATCTTTTTGTAAAAAATTTTTGAATTATTTGAATATGCACTCACACACACACACACACACAGAGACATATCTATCATTCCCAGATTCATTCTGCAAATGGCTCCAGTGGCCAGGGCTGGGTCATGAGGAAGCCAGGAACCACTTAATTTTCATTACTCAAATGAACAAAAACAAAATAAAACCCAACAGAGATGTTAGGTCAATTACCCAAAGTTAAGGAATGATAGGAAGATCAGTTAAGGTCTATTTGACGTCAAACCCATCCTGTGTGACACTGGGACCTTAAGCTAGTTGGGGAAGTTTTGTTGTGATGTTATGAGAAGATAAAAGCTGAGGCCAAGCCTGTGGGGGAGGAGCAGATGCAGCTAGTGGCCTGATGGGTTGGAGGGCGGCTAAGTGTCCAAATAGGGGGAGCAGACAGAGGAAGGGAGGACTTGCAGGCTCTGAGCAGAGGCCAGGAGAAGGTTGAAATGGACACATCTGGAAAGGAGGACTTTGGGTCAATAAAGGACTCAACTGGCAGGTAAGGCAAAAACTCCTGATCTGAGAATTCAGAATAGATCTTTTGTGAATGTTGGACAGTCCCTTGAATAATTTGAAATTACGGTTGATATACACAACCCTTACCATTGAAGCAATTTTTTAATGTCCTGGTCAGTGGCATTAAGGACACCCACCACATGGTCATTGAAGGGGATCTTTGTCAACACCCCATGCTAAAATACTGCCCCCAGAAACAATAACTCCCTATTTCCTCCTTCTCCCAGTTTTTAAAAGCCACCATCTTGTCTATGAATTTGACTGTTTTAGATACTTCTATAAGATACTTCTATAAGCAGAATCATGTAATATTGCTGCTGGTTATGTCGCTTAACATAATGTCATATAGATCCATCTATGTTGTACAAGTATTAGAATTTTACTCCTTTTAGAGACTGAAAGAGGGAGTGATCTTCCTTCTGCTGCATGTGAATGCCTGGGTGGGGTTGGCTGCATCCAAGAGTCAGGAACTCCATCTGGAACTCCTAGCTGGGTGGCAGGAAGCTGAGCATCTGGGACCTCATGTGCTGCCTCCCAGGTGGGCAGAAAGCTGGATGAGAAGCAGAGCAGCCAACATTTGAGCCACGCACTTGGATACAGGCTGCATAATGGAGAAGTTACTTTAAAAAATCCATAGAAAAATCCATCTATTGCTGGGCATTTAAAGGGCTGACCCAAGTTTGGCTATTGTGAACAATGCAGCTGTGAACTCGGATGTACAGATTTGTTTGGGTTCCTACTGTCCATTCTGAGTGATGACCAGTAGTGAATTGATTATTAAGGCTCTGTAGGAGGACATTGTGACCCTAGAGGGTCAGCGAGCACAGGATTACAGTTGCTTGGATAATACTTGCACGAGAACAACCGAATGGCCACCTTTTGTATACCTGATTGGATATCATTTGTATAAGAACAGTTGAATGGACAGTATGTGTGTGAGAACACTTGGTGGAATACACAAGACAAAATGAGTTCCAAACAAAAGCATAGAAACTGTTACTGAGCTTTGTTGATGAGCTCAATACTTCCTCCCTTATCCCACATAACCCTCAGTGTATAAAGTCTGAGGCCACTAATGAACTTTGGCTTTGACCATCAGTCAGGGTCCACGCATGTTATTATCGGCTCCGTGCACCAAGTCCATCGCTGCCTCGACAAGGCTCTAGTTCAAATCGGTCTTTAAGCAGTTAAAACTGCAACTTCCCCAGGCGAAAAGAAACCTCTTAAGACTGCGACGTGACATTAAAATCGCATCTATCAAGTTTATTGAGTTATACACCTTCCCCATGAGATTCCTATAGTGTTAAAAACAAGCTATAACAGCCTGTGCATCCTTAAAACTGTTACCAAATGCTCTCCCCAGGTGTTCTGTGCTTGTCAAATCCAGTTTTCCACCACATCTCTTCTATTACTACTAGCCTGTTAACTCAGTCATCAATACCAGCTGATGACTTTTAAAGTCATGCTAATTTTGGCACCCTCTTCAGCTGGATATATACTAAAATGGTTACCGTACAGAGATGATTACCATGGCTCTGTGCTCAAAGATGACCAGCAAGTTCATGGAGCTTCTAGTTTGTAAAAACAAAACAAAAAAAAAAGAAGTACTTGGGGAGGTGGGCTGGAGCTGAGAAATCGTGTGTCTTCTTATGCCTTCAGGTGTTACTGCGCCAACTTGCAGCCTGCGGCCCTTCCAGGCCTGCTCCGGCAGAGGTGGCTGGGTGCGCTCGCGCCGCGGTCTCCTCGGGCCGCTGTCCACCCAGCCCTGACCGTTCCCAAGCCTCAGCCCACCTCAGCGCGGCGCCGCCCCGGCTCAACAGTAGCCGGGCCGGGCGGGTGGCGGCAGCGCGAGCCCGCCGAGTGGCGCCGCCGCATCTGTCGTGGATCCCGGGAAGACCTAGACAATGGCTTCGGGAGCATGCGCCCCGCTGGCCGTTAGGAGGCGCAAAACCGACGGCCTGGAGCCGGGGCGCCGGGGAGCCGCCGCGGGCGCACGGCGGGGCTGCAAGGGCCCGGTTGCCACAGCCGGCCCACGAGGCGCACGCGTGGCCGGCCCGGTCGCCAGCCGGCCCACGAGGCGCACGCGTGGCCGGCCCGGTCGCCACAGCCGGCCCACGAGGCGCACGCGTGGCCGGCCCGGTCGCCACAGCCGGCCCACGAGGCGCACGCGTGGCGGGCCCCGGAAGGGCGGCGGGCGCGTAACGCCAGCTTGTGAGTCTGCGCGCGGCCGGGGCGCCTGGGGCGGGGCCTGGAGTTGAACCCGGCGGTCCCTCGGGCGCCTCCGCCGTGTCCGCGGTGCGCGGCTTCGCAGCTCGGGCGGCGTCGGCCCCGGCGTCGGCGGTGAGAAGCCACCCTGTTGCTCGAGGAGGTGGGCGGGTGGGCTCGCGGGAGCAGGGTTTACGTAGTAGGAGAGTTCCTTGAAAATAGTGGGATGGACCTGTCGGCCAAATGTCAGGTGAAGTTGTAGTTGATGGAGACCATGTGCACTCGAGGGCTAAAGTTGGATAGGAGCGTTGTTGCAGCGTCGTGACATTACCAAATCGGAAGGGAACGTCCCCTCTCTCCCACCTCCAAGTTCCATTTTAACGATAGGTAACGATGAGAAACAGTCTAGCGGAGATTGAGACTAACGAAGGAAATCGGCAGAATTCCTAAGGCTGTTTGTGTGAAATGGAATGGGTAGAAGGGAAGGGTGGGCTTCGCGATGCGGAGCCGAGCGTGACGTGGTGAGGTGGGCCTCCACAGCCCGTGTGCTGTTGTCTTCTTCCTGAGTGGCAGGATGGGAAAGGAAGGGAGAGAGTGCCCCTCCCTGCGCCCCACCCCTGGCGGCTGCTTCTCCTGGCTCTCTTTAGAAATGGCCCTCTTGTATTTACAGTGGAATCTTTGCCTGCCCAGTCTGCGCAAAGGGTCCACTTGCGTTTTGGCCTCAAGAAATCTTGGAAAGAAGATGGAACAGGCAAGTGTACAGGTAATGCGGTTCTTGTTAACTGCCGGCTGCTTTTCAGGAGTTAAGGCCACCTGCCCTGGGAATCGGGTGGGGGGCACAGACCGATGCTTCACGTCTCAGCCCCTAATGTTGCCCGGGCTGTCAGCCAAAATGAGGATGAAATACCTGCACGTGGTAAAGTAAAAAGTCTTTAATCAATAGTTAGAGTAGCAATCTTTTTTTCCCCCCATTCTTTATCATCATTGTTATGATACAGTTCCATAGTCCCTGGGATTTCCCTGACCCCCTCCTTAAGTCCTCTCCCCATACCCACTGATTTCCCCTGTATTATTACAATAATAGTATGGTTCTTCATAAACAGTCATACGTCCATCATTGCAGGCATGGAAAATGGCAGACAGTCCAGCATCCTATTGTTAAGATATAGTTGGGAGTCCCCTTTGATCTGGAAGTAGAGATGCATACTTCATTGTACCCTCACATCTGGATATGATAGTCTCCTTTACACAGTTACTATACGTCTCCTTAAATGAAAAGCCACAAAACAAAATCAACAACAGCAAGAAAAACAGAAATTTACAATGCCATGAAGTTAAATAACATACTACTGAATGAAATTGAAGAATGAAAAAGAAAATCAAGAACCTTCTTGAAGAAAATCATGCTACTCCTGTATGATCTATAAGTCAGTGAAGAATTTAATGAGAAAAGTACTGAAGAAATGAAATTAAAAACAAAAACATAAAAATCCATGAAATATAGTTTCTGCTATTCTTTGTTGGTGAAATATATCTCCTGTGGGCAACAAATAGGTGGAGTTTGTGTTTTTAATCCAGTGTACTAATCTGTGACATTTGATTGAGTTTAAGCCATTAACATTCAGGGTGAATATAAACAGGTGGTAATTTGGTCCTGTCATTTTTAGCAATAGGTTATTCATTGATTTAGTCTTCTGTTGTTATTTTATTGGGATGTTCTTCACATTTGCCTTATTTTGGTGGGTGCTATTTCTTTTCTCTGTCTAGAGAACATCTTTAAGTATCATTGTAGGGCAGGTCTGGAAGAGGTGTATCCCTTGAGCTTTTTTTTTTTTTTACTGTGGAAGAATTTTATTTCATTTTCAAAGACAAAGGAAATTTTTGCTGGGTACGTTATTCTGGGTTGACAACTTTTTTCTTTTAGAATCTGGAATATGTCCCTCCATTCTCTTCTTGCCTGTAGTTTCCTGGGAGAGGTCAGCTGTGAATTTAATTGCCATTCCTCCATATGTCAATTGATTTTTTTCACGTGCACATTTAAGGATCTTAGGTTTCATTGAAGAGAGCTTGATTATCATGTGTTGTGATGAAGATCACTCTTTATCAAGACTGTTGGGTGTTCTGTAGCCCTTCTGGATGTTGTTTCCCAATATTTCTCCAGATTAGGGAAATTTTTGTTTATTATTTCATCAAATACATTTTTTAAAAGATCTATTTTTTATTGGAAAGTCAAACATACAGAGAGGAGGGGAGAGATTTTTGTGCACTGATTCACTCCCCAGTGCCCACAATGGTGGAAGCTAAGATTTTCCAAATCCAGGACCTGCCTAGTGGCTGAACTTCTCACCTTGCTTGTGCTGGGATCCCACGTGGGTGCCGGTTCATGTCCCAGCTTTCCATCCAGCTCCTTGCTTGTGGCTTGGGAAAGCAGTGAGCATGGTCCAAAGCATTAAATAAACTTTTAAACTCAATTTCTCTTTCTGGACCTTCTGGAACTCACGTAACTCTTAATATTTGCCCTTTTAATAGTGTTTTTAAATTTTTGAATACTTCATTTATCTTGACGTAGCTCTGCTTCCAACTTTTTGATTGCTTCCCCATGGTGACAAAAAACATCTTCCAATTCTGAGATTCTTTCTTCTGACTCATTCATTCTGTTATAGAGACTTGCCACTGAATTTCTAATTTGCTCTATTGCGTCCTTCATTTGCTTGATTTTGTTTCAGTGTTGATATTCCATGTGTGGCATATTTGTTAAATTGCTTGAACTTTTGAATGTGCTGCTCATTTATAAGAAGCTTTATAACTGAGTTCTGAATTCTGTATTCCCCCATTTTCTCAATGTCTTCCTTAAGTTAACTCTGGTTGGCAAAGGCTTTTGTTCCTTTGTCTATGTCCACAGTAATATTCATTTTGCCTCTGTCTCTTCTTTTACTCTTGTTTGTTGTGCTTCTGGTTAGTGGATTCTTCTCTTCAGGGCAGGTTTCTAAGCTGAGTCACCCACAGATCTACAGTTTGATTTTACTTATTACAGTTAGTACACAGCTCTTTGTTTGCAGTCACTTGTGCCACTCCCTCCAGTGAGTTTCAGGTCTGGATTCTAATGTTAGACTTTTATTATGGTCTCTGTAACCCCAACTCCTGGCTCAGCACTCTACCTCCTGTGATCCCGTGGTGCTGTTCTTGCACCGGGGTCTGTGCAATGTTTCTCCCCCTTCCTGTTTGAGCAGTTCCCAGGATTAGGGAGACAGCAGGTGTCCTAAATAGCTAGGTTGTTGGTGGTACTGATCTTGCCAGAACCTGTTGGCCATTAAGTCTGAGGGCCACATGGACCTATTGTGAGTTGTAAGATGCCAAAGTCAGTGTTATTTTCGATGTGGGACTAGTGCAGTGCATTGAGCTCAGTGAGTCTGCCCTCAACTTGGCACATGTGCAGCTCACTGCAGTCTCAAATCCTTTGCCACACTGCACAAAATGTTGCCAGTCATGCCACTCATGGAATTTTTGATCTGCTGGCCTGGTAGCCCCAGGCCTATTTTGGGTAGAACCTGTATGATGCCAGGTGAGTGCGATGCACTGAGCCAGAAATGAGTTCACTCCCAGCTTAGTGCATGTGCTGTCCTGTCCCATCACTTTTGCCTTTCTACACAAGATGGCACCGAATTCAGTTCTGCTGGGGGGCCTGGACTGTAACATCCACCCTGTTCCTGTACTGTGTGTTTGGGATCTGCTGCTGTGTCTCTGCTCCAGGTCAAATCAAACAAACCAGCAGGACAGGCAGTTCTTTGTGTTCTCCTCCTGAGTTCCTGGTAAACTCTGCTTCCTGTCTGGTTGCTGGTTGCTGTGGAGTTCCGGCCACTGGTACTTTTCGGATCACTGAAAGGGGTATCTGGACACTGCAACATCACACTGTTGTCTCCGCTGCTTTCCCATGTCCATCAGTCTCTAGGTGCCCCTATCCCATTTGTCTGTCCTCTCCTATTTCCTGTAATGTGCTCTGTCTCTATTTCACCTCGGCTAATGTTTCTCTGTCTATTTAAATGTGTCCTCACCCTATTCTACCATCTTGAGTACCCCAATGTAGCAATTGTTAAGGATTTTCCCAGTGTTCATGTAGGTATGAGTATGCATCCTCTGGGAGTTTGATGATGAAATGTCACAATTCTGACTGAGCCAGTCTGGGATGACTTACCCAAGGAGAAGGTTGTATAGTTTAAGCCTCCGTTTTACAGACGGCAGTACCATTTTGGTTTCTGTGACATTTCCAGGTGAGGCTGTGGATGGTTTGGAGCCGCACACACAGCATCTAAGGCTAGGAGGCCACTTCTAAGCAGGTGGGCCCTTGAAATGTAGCGAGTGCAACTGGGGAAGAACCTGAATCTGGACTTCATTACCTGAGGAAATAAAAATCCACCCCCTCTACCCCATGGAGTATCTGAAGTCATCATGATGTAGATTCCTAACTTGTTGTGGGGGGTTATGTTTTTCAGTGCACTGATGTGATTGATGGTAATTCTGGAGAGGCACCCAAGGAGAAGTTCATAAAGTTTAAACCACCATTGTACAGACAGAGGTACCAGTTTGTTAAAGATATAGTGGATCAGCATGAACCCAAGAAGGTAGGTGTTTCCAAGCACTGAGGTTTTAAGGTCGCCTTTTCTGAATATTTTGTCAGTTTGGTACTCGTGTAAGAAGACACTTGTTGTAGTACAGGGATGTTGATGTGACAGCAAAATCCACAGGTGTCTTCAAGAGTTGAGAAAAAATGTGCTTTTTTAATTTCTAGAAAGCATACTAAGAAGTAGGAGAGTAAAGGTTGGGAGAATTTATCCTGAAGGCCAGCCTCAGAAATATGCTCAAGGACATCTTGGTCTCATGGATCAGTGACAATGGAGAGTTGTTTTTTTAAATTTTTAAAAAAATTTATTTATCTATTAGAAAGTCAGATATACAGAGAGGAGGAGAGACAGAGAGGAAGATCTTCCGTTCGATGATTCACTCCCCAAGTGAGCGCAATGGCTGATGCTATGCCTATCCAAAGCCAGGATCCAGGAACCTCTTCCGGGTATCCCACACGGGTACAGGGTCCCAGAGCTTTGGGCCGTCCTCAACTGCTTTCCCAGGCCACGAGCAGGGAGCTGGATGGGAAGTGGAGGTGCTGGGATTAGAACCGGGAACCATATGGGAGCCCGGCACATTCAAGGAGAGGACTTTAGCCACTAGGCCATGCCGCCAGGCCCTGGATAGTTGTTTTAAAGGCGGAGTTACAGAAATAGAACGAGAGCTCGATTTTCCATGCACTGGTTCACTCTACTAATGTCTGCTACGAGTTCCTGGTGAACCAGAATTGGGCTAATCTGAACCTAGGATCTCTCACATGGGTGGGTGCACATGCCCAAGCATTTTAACCATCTTCTACTGCTTTCCCAGGCCATAAGCAGGGAGCTATATGGACGTGGAACAGCCAGGACTTGAACTTGTGTCCATATGGGATGCCAGGGCTGCAGGCAGCTGTTTTTTTTTTTTTTTTTTTTAAAGATTTTGTAGGCAGCTGTTTAACATGTTTTGCCACAGCGCTGGTCCCTACTGTAACTCTTATGGGGGAGGGTTTTTCTTCCAGTGATTCTGTTCCTGGCACTGAAAGCACAGGTAACTGACTTCCTGTGGCCGTTTGCCAGGAGTGAAGTGCTCAGGGAACATTCTGTGGCACCGGGTGCAAATTCATAGTTAGATGTAGGCTTCACATTTCTAGAACAGTCAGAACATTGGGCAGATGGGCAGTGTGGGTCTTTGGATGTTAGATAATGGGCCTTTTCAGCTAACTTCAGTAGGAAGTCATTTCACACAAGAAATGTACCTTGCTGGTCACCATACTGGTGGATGTGATGTTCTAGTGTGTCCTAGGTTCTGGTAAGGTGACTATCTGGATTTTGAATTTTTGCTTGATGCTGAGGACTGAATTTCCTCTGAGAGTTTTCATTCTGTGTGAGGGTTTTGTACTTGCACCTAAGATGTACAATTATTTACTTATTTATTTTTTTTAAAAAAGTCTTTAGCCATCCAGATATGTGCATTCAGGGGAAGCATCTAGTATTGCCTTTTGGGCAGCTTGAAGTTCAATATGGAATTTCATACAGTTTGGTGGAATGGTTGCATCCCTTAAGCAGTGCTGGTCTTCTCTGTGTGGGAAATAAACAAAATGGAAACAAAGTGTTAGAAAGCTTTTTTTTGCTGAAGTCTGAAGCTGACCATCTTGAAGGGTCCAGCTTGTAATTCTGAATGAGAAACCTGGGCTGTATAGCTGGCTGTTTCTCTGAAATGCGCATGGCAGCAATGACTCTGGAACAGGGAGCAGCTCTTACTGTTGGCCTATATTACTTAGAAATACTTCTCTGCCCATAGGCCTGTGAAAGTGGAAATTTGCTGTCTGTTTAGATGATTCCACCAGAAAGCTAATTCCTTCTGGTGGCTCTGTTATTGCTAGGTGATCCCCCTGCCCCCAAGACAAAGCTTTTGATCCCACCTCTGTGGTTCCCAGTGCCTTTTAAAAAAAGCACTATGTCTCATCCTGCAGGTTGCAGACCTAGGCTGTGGTGATACTTCGCTCATAAGGCTGCTGAAAGTCTACCCATGCATCGAGGAGCTCGTCGGCGTAGACATTGACGAGGATAAATTGCGGTGGAGAGGGTAAGGCGCAGGGCGGGGGTCTTGAGAGGCCTGTCTCCAGAGGTGTACATATGGTGGAAGCACAGGCTCCTGTGTGGTAATGTTGACATGCAAGAAACGTCCAGGCCCTTCTTGTGTGCCAAGGGGACGGTAGTTAGGTTATGGGGCTACATCATTTTGAGCAGATCAACACTCTTTGTCTCTCCTGGTGGAAGTCTCCTGGGCTTTGTGCCCATGGGAGTGAGGGTAGGTCCATGGCAACCCATGGAGGGTGCCCTTTGTGCACATGGCCAGTTTCCATTGTTGCTCCTCATCACATTGTGATATAGCCGGGGATTGGGGACTTCATTTCAGGGAGAATGATGCCTTCATTTGAATCTATTGGCACCATTTCTACTCGGACAAAGTGCCAGTTTGGTAGAGCTTGTTAGAAGATAAAAGGACGGGGCTATTGGCTCACATGTTAATCCTTTACCTCAAAGGGCCAGCATCCCATATGATGCACCAGTTTGTGTCTCGGCTGTTGTATCCCTGCTTTTGGCCTGGGAAAGCCGTGGAGGATGGCCCCAAGCCTTGGGACCCTGCACCCATGTGGGAGATCTGGAAGAGGCTCCTGGCTTCAGATTGGCTCAGCTATGGCTGTTGTGATGATCTGAGGAATTAACCAGTGGATGGAGGATATTTTTCTTTGTCTTTCCTTCTCTCTGTGAATCTGCTTTACCAATTTAAAGAAAGAAAGAAAGACAGGAGGACTCCTGGGGAGGCTCCAGCTCACTGAATGAGTCTTGGCCATGACCATAATTGGGTGTATATCTTATGCAAGGCCTATATTTTATGCCTCTCTACTTATACATGTGAAGTTTCAGAGAAATCATTCCAAGGCATTGAGAGTTCAGTTTTGGGAGGTCAAGTCTTATGAATGCTAGGGAAAATGATTTAGAGCAGAGGATTTCAAAGGTTCAGAACACTGGACAAATGCTGTTGGCCTCTGGCATCTCAAACCAGGTGTTTCTCCTGTCATCCAAATGTACATATGCACTTACGTGTATGTGCCTGTTACGGAGATGGATGAAAAGCTAAAAAAACAAGCAGGAAAAGCCAAAAGTATGTTGGGACTGGTGTTGCGGTGCTGTGGGTTAAGCAAGCAATATTGACATCTAGTGTTACAGTGCCAGGTTTGGGTTGGGGATGCTATGCTCCCTGTTCAGCCTCCTGTTAATGTATTGGGAAGGCATGGAAGATGACCTTGGTACTTGCCCTGGCCAGTAATGAGGATCCAGAGGCATCTGCATTCCTGGTTTTGGCCTGGTCCACCTTTGACTTTTGTAAATGCTTTTTGACTCTTAAAAATTTTTTTTTTTATTAGAAAGGTAGATACACAGAGAGAGAGATCTTCTGCTTGCTGGTTAACTCCCACCAAATCACTACAACAGCCCGAGTTGGGCCAGGCCAGAGCCAAGAGCCTGGTGCCAGAAACTCAATTCTGGACCAAAGAACTTGGGCCATCTTCTGCTAATTTCTCAGGCTTCTTAACATGGGGCTGGATTATAAATAGAGCAATCCAGGAGCCCAGTGTGATGGCTCAGTTTGGTAATCCTTCCTTCCAAGCAGCAGATTCCCATGTGGCCAAGGGTTCTTGTCCCAGCTGCTCCACTTCATATCCAGCTCTCTGCTGGTGGACTGAGAAAGCAGGAGAGGATGGCCCAAACCCTTGGGACCCTATACCCACAAGGGAAACCTGGCTGGGGCTTCTTGGCTCCCGGCTTTAGACTGGCTCAGCTCCGGCCATCTCTGTTATTTGGGGAGTAGACCAGCAGATGGAAGACTTTCTGTCTCTCTTCTCTGTAAATCTGCCTTTCCAATAGAAAGCAAAAAATAAAACGAACAACAACAACAAAAGTAAGTGGAGCAGCCTGGACTGGAAGTGATACTCATGGAATACCGCTGTTCAGGTGGCAGCTTAACTGGCACCCTGATATTGGCCTTGTTGTTTTAAGTATCTTTGAAACAAAGAACAGTATCAAGCACTGCTTGGCAACTAATGTCCCATTGTGAGAGGACACTGCCCCATGAAAGGCTGTTTGTTTCATTAAAGGTTTACTTATTTATTTGAAAGACAGTGTTTTATTTTTCAATCTACCGGGTCACTTTTCAAACAGCAGCAATGGCTGGAACTGAGCCAGGTTGAAACCAGCAGCCTGGAAGTCAACCTGGGTCTCTTTCGTGGGTGTCAGGGGCACAAGTACTTGGCTGTCTTTCCTTGCCTTCCCTGTCTGAGCAGCAAGCTGAATGGAAAGTGGAGCAGCTTGGACTGGACACAGTGCTTGTATGGGATGCCAGTGTCATGGGTGGCAGCTTAGCCCACTGTGCTACAGTGCTGACTTCAGGTAATTCAGAACAAAGAAAACAGGCCATGTCCAGCTTGCAGGCATGTAGGGAGGAGGGAGTCATCAGAAGAGCTGGATCTACAGCAGGCATCAGGTTCACCTGGTCTCTCTTGCAGGGATCAGCTGTCTCCCTTTCTGGGCGACTTCCTAAAGCCACGGGATCTGGATTTGACCATCACGCTGTACCATGGCTCCGCAGTGGAGAGAGACTCTCGTTTGCTTGGCTTCGATTTGATAACATGCATTGAGCTGTAAGTTTTAAACGGGCTCATACTATGTTACCTGGTGGGAAAAAGACACTAGGCACCAGACATGGCGAGTCACACAGGAGGTCTTTATTTCAGCGTGAGAGGCGACCACAGGGAAGGGCTTATTCCAGTGGAAGAGTTGACTGTGGGGAAGCGAGAGATAGCAGGGTAGAGGAAGATGGCTTTGGGAAGATAGAGAAGGCAGGGAGGTCTCCTGCCACAGTGACAGGAGGGGCTCCGAGTGAGGCCAGTGGGACAACCAAGAACCAGGAATGGGGAGAACTGAAGACCAAGAGGGGAGAGCCAAGGACTGAGAGCCTAGTACCCGGAGCTGGAAGAGCTGAAATCCAAGAGCTGGGAGAGCGGAGAGCTGGGAGAGGAAGGGAGGGAATGTACTTTCATAGCAAGGGGTGGGTATTAGGAGTACAGGGTCCATGGGGATTGGTAGTTACAGCACTGGGGGGGGGGCAGGGATACACGGCAGCATGTGATTAATGGATGGGGCTGTTGGAACAAAATTGGGTATGGAACTAAAGAGCCTGAAGCCAAAACTGAAACTTAAGGAGACTGAAAGCCTAAGGAGAGCCAAAAGGGAAACTGGAGGGAGCAGAAGCCCATGGGAAACAAGTAACTGAAGTGGCGGTGGGGGTCTCATCAATGTCTGAGGCTGTTTATTTGAAAGACCTGAAAGAACTACACTTAGTAATCTTGGAATTCTAGATAGTCAGGTCTTGGTTGGTACTTCAAGAACATCTGTCATCCATTGGGAATACTTTTTTTTTAGGAACTTTAACTGTGCTGTCAAGGATGCCTGTTTTCCATTCATTCCGCTTCACCTTTTTGTTGATGTTCCTCTGACTTGATCATTTGTGTACATGCAGCCTCTGCTTCCAGGGTCTCCCTCCAGTTTTTCCCCCTCACCAGATCGGGTTAGGGTAGGCTGAGGTCTGGAGGTGCCTGACTGAGGCTCGCATGTGCCTGTTCTCACTTGGTTTGTCTTACTCTCCCTGTCAGGGTATTGTTCCACTGTAGAGTTACTCTTAGTTTTCCTCCCAGCTGGTGAGTGTCCTGGGAAGTCATGCAGAGCTCACCCAGCCAGCTCCTGCCATCCATCTGTACCTGCTCCCAGGTTTAGCTTCCTAAGTGGTTCTTGTCCCAACCAGCCATCATTACATTAGTGACATTTTTTTCAGATTGCAGTGAATTTACCAGTTAGCTCTCAGCATTTTACCATAAGCAAGAACCCTGCTTCTTCAATCCCCCACCCCTTTTTAATTGACATTACCATGAATTTAGGAATCCCTATATTTTTGTCTTTTTTTTTTTCTGCATATATTTTCTTACTTGGATGTCCCCGGGTAGACCAGCAGGGGGTGCCATCAGGCTGACTTTTGGGTCAGTCTTATCTGTCAATTTTCTGAGCTCTTCTTTTCTGGCAACTAGAAGTTCTAGGGTTCCTCTTCTACTGGGATCAATCATTTCTTAGAGAAAGTGCTTCCTGTGAAAGAGGGTGCTGGCAAACCCAGGATGTGATTTTCTCAATGACCTTTGGGTAGCTGGGTGGGGAGCAGGGAGCAGCTTGCTCGGGATTTGTTTGCCATGTATGTTCAGGCTGATTTGCATATTTTAATTGTGTGTGCTGTTTTTCTAAAGGAGGGAGTTTGCATTGTGTTTCTCTGCATCATCTGTTGCTTGGTGCATCGTGGGTATCTATACTGGGCATTCTGTATAGGAAACACAATTGCAGAACCAACGAGCAGTATTATGATAAAGCCAGAATAGCAGTTGGTAGTAAGAATTTGAGGCAGAGAGTTCTCCCACTGGTTTGCTCCTCAAATGTCTATAATGGCTAGGTTGGGGCCATGGTGAAGCTGGGAACTTAATTCAGGTCCCCATTGTGGGTGCCAGGAGCCCAGCCACTGCCTCTTGAGGTACATGTTAGTAAGAAGCTGAGGTTGGGAGCTGAGCCTGAGCTGGTGGGACACGGGCACTCCCAGGGATGTTTTAACTGCTGAGCCAGACGCCCACCACTTTATGTGTACTTTTTATTGTGCTAAAATGCATGTGATGAAATTTACTGTCAACCATTTTAAGTTGTGCAATTCAGTGGTATTGTTGTGCTGTCATCAAAACTGTCTGTGGGCCTGGCGCAATGGCTCAGTGGGTAAATCCTTACCTTGCAAGTGCCAAGATCCCATGTGGGTGCCAGTTCATGTACCCACTGCTCTACTTTCCATTCAGCTCCCTGCTTGTGTCCTGGGAAAGCAGGGGAGGATGGCCCAAAGTCATGGGACCTTGCACTCACATGGGAGACTCAGAGGAAGCTTCTGGCTCCTGGCTTTATATCAGCTTAGCTCTGGCCACTGCAGCCATTTGGGGAGTGAACCAGTGGATGGAAGATCTTTCTATCTCACCTTCTTTCTGTAAGTCTGATTCTGCCTTTCCAATAAAATAAATAAATCTTAAAAATAATAAAGTTTGCCTATAGGTCATATCTTGCACTCTTGAAACCATTAGTAACTCCCAGGTCCTGCCCCTTCATAGCCTACACTCCCTCTTTGAGTGGTCAGGCATTCTTTTCCCTTTTCTGACTGGCTTATTCAACTTTGTATAACACCTTCAGGCTTCCTCCTGTGCTGGCACATGTTAGAATTTCCTGATAAAGCTGTGTGTGATCCTGCCAGCTTGTGTAGGTTTACACCTGTTGATGGGACACTAGGTTGCTTCCATCCTTGGGCTGTTGTGATCAATGTTATGAATGAGCCCAAAAATACAATCACTGAATTGTGTGGTCATTCTGTTTTAGTGTTCTAGTCTGTGACAGCTCTAGGGTTGGAGAAAGAGAGCGAGTGAGGGAGATTAAGAGATCTTCCAGCTGATGGTTCACTCCCCCCCAAGTGGCTGTTATGGTTGAGACTAGGCCAGGCTGAAGCCAGGAGCCTGGAGCTTCTTCTGGGTTTTTCACATAGGTACAGGGTCCCAAGGCCTTGGGCCAACTTATGCTTTTCCCAGGCACATTAGCAAGGAACTGGATTAGAAAGTGGAGCAGCTGGAATTTGAACTGGGGCTCATTGGATGCAAGCATTGCCAGTGGAGGCTTAAGGTGCTGTGCTACCATACTGGCCAGGGTCATGGGTTTAAGGGTTTCAGTGTATGTTTTGCTTTTTAAATATTCCATGTTTTTCTCATATTGGCACTTGAATTTTACTTCAATTTTTTCATAGTATCTTGAGATCAGTGTTGGCGATTTTCAGTTTTTCTTGTTTCCTGGCATGGGGTAAGGCAGTAGTTTCCCACATAGCCACATGTCAGACTCTGATAACTTACTTTGATAGGTAGTGTTGGCACAGAAGCCAGATGGAACAAGGTGACTCAAGACAGCCAGAGCTGGTAGCGTGGGGACCCAGAAGATAGTGTGACAGTCATCAGGCTATCTGTGGTGGTCTCCCTGTCACCATCCTGTTGACCTAGAGGCCCTCTTGTGTGGTGGTGAGGTGTGTCATTGCAGCCGGGATGGGGGCATTAATTCCCTCATGTTTTCAAGACCGTTGGTTTGCTTGTGAAGCTGTGCCCATGTGCGGTTTCCTTAGGGTGCACTGACACAGGTAGAATGTCAGTGAAACTTGGAACTTTTGAGTAATGTTGGATTGTTGTACAGAAGTTGCAGGAATGGAACAGAGTGAGAGCAAGAGCACTTGCATCTGCTGCTTCATCCTCCAAAAGGCCCCAGCTTCCTCTGGGTCTCCCATGTGAGTGCAGGGTCCCAAGGCTTTGGGCCATCCTTCGTTGCTTTCCCAGGCCACAAGCAGGGAGTTTGATAAGAAGTGAAACTTCAGGTGCATGAACTGGCATCCATCTGGGATCAGCATCCTGCAGGTGGAAAATTAGCTTGCTGTACCACCGTGTCAACCCCATGGGTATATATATGTATTTTTTCTTTAATATACATATTTAATATATGTAATATATAATATATAATATTATACATAATATTATATATTTAATATATACATATATTAAAGAAAAAAGACTCTTACACAGCCATAATAACTACATCATGAAATAAAAAAAAGAAATAAACTGGGTGGGGGGAGAGGCAAAGAGAGGTCTTGTAACTACTGGTTTGCTCGCCAAATGTCCACACAAGTAAAGGCTGGGCCAGGAGGAAACCAGGAGTCTGGAACTTAACCCAGGTCTCTCACATGGACCACAGGGACCCAACTGCTTGAGCCATCATCTGCTTTTCAGGGTGTTACCAGCAGGAAGCTGGGAATGGAGTCAGGCCTTGAATCCCAGACTGGCATGTGTGATATGTGTCCCCGCTCCACTCCAAGCCTTCACCGCTAGGCCAGACATCTGCCTGAGGAAATGTTAATTGATACAGTTCTGTGGACCGTACTGAAAATGCATCAATTGTTCTAGTAATCTCTTTTTATAGCTCCTGTTACATTTGGCTGCAATCTCAGCTAGGCCAGGGTCACCCAGCGCCCACTGGACAGTACCGGAGTCAGGTCGGTCTGCTCCCGTGCTCTCGGGAATTGGTCTGCTCAGCCTCTGAGTTCGTATTTGCCCTTGATGTTTCTGAGGAATATGTGCCAGTTACTTCATAGAGAGCCCTCCAGGCTGGGCTTGTTTCTCCTTGTGGTTAGGCTTGGGGCCTGCATTTCTAACAAGAATACTGGAGAAGTGATGTTCTGTGCTTATGGGTATGCTGCATTGGGATGGGGCAAATTCAAACCTAAAGAGCCTGCAGAGCACGGCAAGCACCCTAGTTGGTTAAGTGAGCACCCTGGACAGAACTAGGGGGCTGAGGTGAGGTGACATGAGGGCGGGTAGGAGAGGACTGGAATGTTTGCATGCTTGTTTTTAGGGCCTCTGAGCTCTAGTAACTTTTCCAAAGAAGGAAGAAATTACCATTAAGAGGGTGGAGGGACATTGTTTTGCTAAGTCAGTTAGGAAAATAACTATAATTGGGGTTAAATGTAATGATGTCTTCTTCACTACCCCCGGCAGGATAGAACATTTGGATTCTGGTGATTTGGCCAGATTTCCTGAAGTGGTGTTTGGCTACATGTCTCCGGCCATGGTTGTCATCAGCACCCCGAACTCGGAGTTCAACCCCTTGTTTCCAACAGAGACCCTAAGAGATTCAGACCATAAGTTTGAGTGGAACAGAATGCAGTTTCAGACCTGGTAAGTTCAGACATGTTTTTGTTGTTGTTTTTTTTTTTTTCCCAGATGGTGGAATGGATCCTTCTGAAACTTAAACTTCATAGAAGTAAATGTTGATAGGACTCGTGAATGTACCCAAGTTGTTTTTAAACAGTTTGTTCATGTACATGAAAGGTAAACAGGGAGAGAAAGAGAGACAAAGAGAGGTCTTCCATGTGCTGGTTCACTCCCCAGATGGCCACAATGTACAGGCTGGGTCAGGTCAAAGCCAGGAACCAGTAACTATTATCTGGGTCTCCCTTGCAGGTGGCACAGGCCCAGGCATTTGAGCCATCTTCCACTGCTTTTCCCAAAGCACTTTCAGGGAGGTGAATGGGAGCTAGAGCAGCTGGGACAGGAGTTGGCAACCAAATGGGAAGTCCCAGAGTTCCAGGGGTGCCTGTGGCCCAGCAACATCAGCATCCTCCCCCGCCCTCCCTTGCCCATTGATTCCAGCCTTTGCTCTAGCCTGCTGCATGGCACATGTGCAAGGGGTGTGTGGGCCCACGGCCCTTCCCGGGCAGGATGGTGGCAGCCTGGGTTGATTTGGAAATGATGAATTGACTGGAGGGTGCCTGGCATTCATGCTCCTGCTCAGAGGGAGCTCCTGGGGGTCTGTGCATTTTTTGACACAGTTGCAAACTCATTGTAATTGCTGATCTCCTTGTGTACCCCTGCACTCTGAGCCCCTAATTCTCCTTGTGTCCTCCACATAGTGGTTCCTAGAGACTGACATGCGGCAGCTGCTGCTGTGTCACATGAAGAACGTGCGAACCCTCGTGTTGTGACATCCGGTGGTGGTGTAGGAATTTGTAAGATTGCCACAATTGGGTTCGCTTTTCACCTTTTCCTGCAGTGCTGACAGGCTGCTCTCTCCAACTGCTCTGGGTTTGCAGGGCTTTGTATGCGGCGAGTCACTATGGTTACTCCGTGGAGTTCACCGGTGTTGGGGAACCGCCTGCTGGAGCCGAGAGTGTGGGGTACTGTACCCAGATAGGCATCTTCCGGAAAAATGAAGGCAAGGTGACTGAGGCGAGTGTTTCGGAGCAGTGCCAGGAGCGGGCTTACAAAGCTGTGAGTATTCTCCTCTGGGCAAGTGGCCCTCCCCTCACCCCCTCCCCCACCAGGGAGAAACACCTTTACCCGAGGCTTGCCCCAGGGGAATCCTTTGGGATCCCACCCACCCTACACCCACTTCAGGTGGGCTTGTGACTGTCTGACCTGGAGCCACTCTCACAGCCAGCAGGTGAACCAGAGGGCGGGAGGGCCGTCACGTGTAGCCTGTGTAATGGGTTAGGATTATGCACAGCAGAGGCCACAGGCAGCAATTCCGCTCCAGCTTGGCTCTGGAAACAACTGTTAGAACTGAGTTCAGGGGCCCTAATGCCTTAATGACATGGGATGAAGAAGCACAATTTCCCCGTTAAGTAAGCCATCCTCCACCCATCCTTTTCCTGTAATACCAACTAGGAAATCTGAGTTAGTCTGACTTGTTGGGAACCTGGTTGGAAGATCTTGACCATTAGTATTAGAAAACAGATCAGATAATTGCTTTTGTCTGCAGATGGATACTCATTTTTTTTTAAAGATTTATTTTTATTATTGGAAAGGCGGATATACAAAGAGGAGAGACAGAGAGGAAGATCTTCCGTCCCATGATTCACTCCCCAAATGAGCACAACGGCCGATGCTATGCCCTGATTCGAAGCCAGGAGCCTCTTTCGGGTCTCCCACGCGGGTACAGGGTCCCAAAGCTTTGGGCTGTCCTCAACTGCTCTCCCGGGCCACAGGCAGGGAGCTGGAAGGGAAGCGGGGCTGCCGGGATAGAACCGGTGCCCATATGGGATCCCGGGCGTGCAAGGCGAGGACCTTAACCACTGCGCCACCGTGCCGGGCCCAATACTCATTTTTTTAAAAGCTGAATTTATTTGAAAGGCAGAGTTAGAGAGAGAGATCTTCCATTTGCTGGTTCAATCCCCATAGGGCCACAACAGCTGGGTCTGAGCCAGGTTGGAACTCCTCCTGGGTCTCCTGCATGGATGCCAGGGAACCAAGCACTTGTACATCTGATGCTACTTTCCCAAGCACATTTAGCAGGGAGACGGATTAAAGTGGAGCAGCTGGAACTAAAACTCGCACTTATTGCAGCTGAGCTTGCCGTACCACAGTGCCGGGCCCTGATACTCGTGATAGTTGAGGCATTTTTAGCTAGTATCATTTGACCTATCCATGTTATAATTCTAAAACATGCTTGTTGTATGTTTAACTACTTGAAAAACAGAACAACAGAGAGAGAGTGAGTGAGCAAGTGAGTGAGAGAGCACTTCCATTTGCTGGTTCACTCTCCAAATACCCACCCACAGCTCAGGCTGAAGTTGGAGGCAGGGAATTTCATCTGGTTTTTCCTGTGTGAGTGATGGGGACCCAACTTCTTGTGCTGTCACCTGCGGCTTCCCCCGACCCCCCACCCTCCCAGTATTGTATGAGCAAGTAGCTGGAAACAGGAGCTGAGCTGGTTCTTGCGAACTGGGATGTGGAAGGCATGAGTACTGAATGCAGTCCTAAGTGCTATGCCAGGTGTCTGCCCCATACGGTTAGTTGTTATGTAGCAGAGTTACAGGGGGTTCTTATGATTTCCCCTCCATTCTCAGAGCCTTCCTCCCCTCAGGTTTTCACAGCTTCCTATCCAAGCCTGCAGCAGGAACGGTTCCTCAGACTTGTGCTCGTGAATGAGGTGTCCCGGCAGGTGGAGAGCTTGCGGCTGAAGCATCTGCGGAAGCTGAAGGAGGAGGAGGAGAGGATGTTGGGCGTCAAGCCCCCTGAGGTGGACAGTGACTTCCCAGCCTTTGGGCCAGTCTTCACAGAAGCTGAAAAAGCCAGGATAGAGAATTCCCCCAAGCCCTTTGTTTTGGGAACAAAGTTTTTGGTGCCCCTGCAGAGACTCATGGCTTATCCCAAATTGTGCCGCATATGCCCCAGTGAGGACATGATGCGGTCACTCATTGATGACTGCGTGTGTCTGAGCAGCGATGCATCTGCTGTGGTGGTTGACCTGCACGATTATTATGATTATCTGTTTGATTTTTGAGCCACCCTTATTTCCTGAAATTCAGGGTTTTGGTAATAGTTAGGCTTGTTTAAATTTATAACTTGCTGTGTAGTCATAATTCAAGTGACCTTTTTTTTTTCCCTAAAAGTTATACCCCCAAAGTCATGTCCTAAGCCAGTGGATGGTAACTCTGACACAGAGCCAGGCTCCCCTTACATAAGGAGGATATTAGGGTTTAGCTAAAGATGGTGGTAGGTTTTCCTTTGAATTCAGAAATTTTGTTTTCTCAGGAATGAAGAAATTGGAAGTTGCAGTATGTTGTTTTTTTTTTTTTAACTTACCCATATATTTTTATGTTGGAATATGTTATATGTGACATTAAACTTTTTAAAAGAAAGATATATTCTCTTCAAAATTCTTTCCCCAGGAGTTAAGAGTTCCCCCAAGTCTTCATAAGTCCCTCTGTCCTTTGGACCACATTGCCATCTAAAAATACTTAGCATAAGACATCATACAGGAAAGGAATGAAGGTGTTTGAAACACAAACAGTTTCTCCCCTGTAATCACCCTGGACGCTCTGTTTTCTAGGAGCTTTCTGGATGGCATTGGGGTCATAGTGATGCTGGGAGGAAGGTATTTGGCAAATGGTGGAGGAAACAATGGTTTATTTATTTGAAAGGAAGAGGTAGGGAGAGAGACCTTTCATCCTTTAACCAGTGCTCTTATGGGATGCTGGCATGGTTGCTTGCTGGAGACACGTCTGTGGCGATACTGGAAAAGGTGGCAAAGAGGGCTCTTGTTGAGCTCCAGCAAATACATCAGGAGGAGCTGAAGTCCTAAAAAATGTATAGATGTTAAATATAGGCTTTTTCTTTTAGACTTATTTATTAGGGAGGGAAGGAGGGAGGGATGGAGAGAGAGAGAGAGAGAGAGAGAGAGAGAGAGAGAGAGAGAGAGAGAGAGAAACAGCGAGTGTTCCAAATGGAACACTCAAATGGCCACAGCAGCATTATCTGGGCCTGGCTAAAGCAAGAGCCAGAATCTCCATCTGGAACTTCCACTCTGGTTGTAGAGTCAAGTTCTTGGGCCTCTTCTGCTGACTTCCCAGGCACATTAGCAGGTAGCTGGATCTGATGTGGGGCAGCCGGGCCTTGAATCTGTACTCCAGTGTGGAGTGCTACTGTCTTAAGTGGTGGCTTGACTTGCTGTGACACTGCTGATTTCCTTGTACAGGTTTTTAAAGTAATTAACATCCCAGTTATAAACATTCTATCTTGGAAATGAACACTCCCTTTCTCTGGCCTATTGATCTGTCGGGTTCTTCCTGTTCCTGGCAGGTGGCCTGCACACATATCTCACCCACATTGCTGTGATGATTTATTTATGATGACAGTTCAGCCTGCATGCCGTGACTCAGGCTGGCGTTGGCAAATCCAGCTGTCATAATTTTCTTTCTTGGAAACACTTCGCTGGGTCTGCTCCTCACCCGCACCCCACTGACTCATGACTTTCATTCCATGGTCCTGGTTTCTCCCAGTCACATCTTCATCCAGCCTGTTCTGTCAAGTTGCCCATCCTGTGCTTTCCTCTGAAGAGTCTTATGGGAACATATGAGACCACACACAAGGAAACTGTTTCACCATATTTAGGCAAAATAAGTAATGTTTTAAAATATTTTATTTAAGCATTTATTTTAAAAAATGTTTTCTTTGGTCTTATTTCCATGGGATAGATGTGGAAGAGGTGTAGACACAGGATTGCTTAGGAGTAGATTGGACCTGAATCACTCAAGTGCAATGCCATAAGGTGGCCACACTTGAAACAATTGGACTCACTTGGTCTAAAGATCTAGTAGTGAAGTCAGCTTCTTAAATGGCTGAGGAGCCCTCTATATGTAGGTGAGCTGTAATTGTACAGAAACTGAGTCTAAATCCGTACAAGAAGGCCTCTGGCAGCTCCTTAGTACATCCCTTGCATGGTTTGGCACTGGCGTGCATCAGGGTAAGCCAGGGCTCCAACTAGTGCCTACTGCGCTACATACTTGTTCCTACAGTTATTATTATTTTTTAAAGATTTATTGAAAGGTAGAGTTAGAGAAGGAAAGGTAGGGATCTTCCATTCATTAGTTTACTCCCCAGATAGTAGCAAAAGCTGGAGCTGGGCTGGTCCAAAGTCAGGAGCTTGTGGGGTTCCCATGAGGGTGCAAGGGCCTGAACAGTTGGACTGTTCTTTGCTGCTTTCCCAGGCACATTACAGGAAAGTGGATTTTAAGTGGAGCAGCTGGGACTTGAACTGGTGCTCATATGGGATGCAGGCATTGCAGGCAGTAGTTCAACTCACTACAGCACAGTCCTAGCCCATTCTGTGTTAATTTTAAGTATTTTATAATTTTTATTTGGAAGGTACAGATAGATGACAGATAATGAAGACAGATGATAGGCAGAGAGGATCTTTACCCCTCAACTGTCTTAACAGCCAGGTCTGGGCAAGGCTGAAGTGAGGAATCCATCCTAGCCTCTCACTTGGGTGGCATGGACCCATGTGCTTGAGTCCCAGGCACATTGGTACGAAGTTGTATAGCAATCTGGATTTGAATTGGCACCCTGGTATGGAATGTGGGTGTCCCAAATGGTGTCTGATCCACTGTACTGATGCTGCTGGGCCAAAGAATTTTTTTTTTTAATTAAAAACATTTGGAAGGCAGTGACACGGTACGTAGACACAGATATCATCTGTCTGCTGGCTCACTCCCACGATGTCCACAGCAGCTAGGGCTGGTCCAGCTATTAAGTCAGGAGACAGGAGCTCAGTGTCTCCCGTTGTGGAAGGACACAAGTACGTGGATCAGCACCTGCCACCTGGGGTATGCACTAGCAGGAAGCTGGGATTGACAGTGGAGTGACGGCATTTGATAAGAGATGTGGGCACCTTGAGTGGCATCTTAACCACTCTGCCAGTCACCCCATAGTTTTTTCTTGAGAGCACACCTTTCTATGATCTTTTTGAAGACCCCATTGTATGTATGGACTTCAAATCTTTTTCATCAAAATAGTTATCTTTTATTTCCTTTCTGAAGCTCTCCTATATGTGTAGATGTTACACAAAGGCATATTTTGGCTTGATGAAATACTGAGTGCCTGCTCAGGAACACTCTAACATTAGTGTTTGTTTTCTGTCACAACCCAATGGTGGTGGTGGTATAATCTCCATCCCAGATTAGCAAACAGGTTCAGAGGGGAGTTTGTATGCAGATTTGAACTGGTCTCATTTCAGAGCCTGTGTCCACAAGGCTCTGCCCAGGGGTTCACAAAGTCGGCCAGGGACGTGTGTGACTGTACTTCGTGACCTGGAACTTAATGAAATGAAATCTTCAGGGAAAGTTCTGTTGGACTCTTCACTTCTGCTTCCCTATCTTAACACAATTTTCTGACACAGATTGCTTTTAAAATTTCTTATTTGAAGCTTGAGACAAGAGGTGTGTGTGTGGAAGGGAGGGAGGGAGAGAGAGAATGGAAAGACATCCCTGGTTCATCCCCACAAATGCCTGCAAGAGAAGCCAAGAGCTCAGAATCCAGTTTTGAGTCTCGTGTGTGACAGGAACCCAAGTACTTAAGTCACTGCCTGCCTGCTTCCTTCCAGGGTATCTTTAGCAGGGAGCTGGATTGGAAACAAAGGAGCCGGGGCTCCAACCACGTCCTCTGATGTGGGGCTCAGGGGTCCCAAGTGCTGACTTACCTGCAACACCAAAAGCCTACCTGTAATCGATAGTTTAAGAACATATTAGGAATAATCTTTTAACATGTTTTTTATTGAACATATGTAAATTTATCTTTATTACAAACACTTTACAAATTAAAATTTTTTTGTAAAAAAAATTCCAGGATTTATTATTGTACATTTGAAACAGAAATACATAAATATGAAGGTCATTCTCCAAGTATTAACAATACTCATGGAATCACTTCAATAAAATCTTACATAAACATCTGCATAATTAACTACACATTGAATCAACTTCCAAAGGATCAAATAGACATACAAGAGGAAGGTGATCCTTACAATAAGAGGTGTTTAAAAAAATCAATTGTAAATACCCTAAATATCTTTTCCAGGTGGCTTTTGGTCAGGAGAAAGCTTTGTTATATGTACATAAGGTAAACATGAACATCTGAAAATGGGAATATGTGATGTAAACTAAAGTTTGTCAGCTTGGTGTAAGGGGGAGTAACTACACAGACCATCCCTGGAACCAACTAGAATATAGTGTTTACACATCATTATGAGAATCACATACACAAGGGAATAAGGCTGTTGCTTTCCAGAGCAGTCTTAGACTGAGTTAATAGGTATATTCGATCCTGTATATTGTAGACTTCATGTTCTTGAGCATCTCAGCTATGAACATGATGCATAGTACCTAAGCCAACACATGAGTAGTGGCATAACACGATTCCGTCTTTACTACTTGGTTATATTCACAGGCTGTACCATCAGAACAAGAGAACTGAGCAGGCACAATTCCTGAGCTGCTCAAGGTTAAGAATGATAAGAAAACAAAATACAACTTGCCATACCTAAGAGCCCTGTCTGTCACTTGGAGCAGTGTGACACAAAGTAGGAAGCTTGACACTTTGGAGTGTTTCAATAAGATAATTAATAATGCTGTCAGCTTGAGCTTCCGCAGTGTGGTTTAGTCAGCAGGAAATTAGAAAACCTAAAATTACTTCTGCATGCTTTATTAAAACTTACTGCTCTAGAATCTGAATGTTTGGTGGTCAGAGATCTTTTCTTTCCAGGAACGAATGGGCCACAAGTGGTTCACCTCTGTGGCCCACAGCTTTGTATAACAAGGCAAATACAGAAGGTTCTGGTTTGGATATTATTCTGATTTTTTAAAATATTTTTTTATATGAAAGGAAATGAGCTCTTCCATCTGCTGGTTCACTCCACAAAAGCCTACAATAGCCAAGGCTGGGCAGGGCTGAAACCAGGAGCCCAGAGATCTACCTGTGTCTCCCACGTGGGCAGCAGGATACCAAGTACCTGCTGCCCTCCCAGGCCCCTTCAGCAGGAAGCAGGATGGGAAGCACAGTGAAAGGACCCGAACTGGCATTCCAATACTGGATGAAACACCCTAAACAGTGGCCTGGTCCACTGCACTGTTACGCCTGCCCCTGTTCTGACAGTTTTAGTCCAGGAACAGAATGGTGAGTTTGGGATTCTTGGTCAAGACTTTCCTAATCATAAGCATAAATATTCATTGGTATACAGAAAACTTAAAAAAAAAATCTCACCAAGAGGAATCAGTCATTAAGATGTAAACTCTTGGTCTGGGACCTTCTGTGCCATGCATGTCCCCTTCACATCCCACCTGGTCTCAGCTGCCAGCTGAAGTCCCAGGGAGCAGGTCTCTCTGCTGGCCTGTGCCTCCTCCCCAGCAAGATATTTAAGACTCAGTTTTTCTCATCAGATATAAAGCTCTGCAATACAATGAGCCTTTTTCTCTAAGACAGAACTAGCAAAAGATCTGCACATCTGCAAATTCTCCTAGGCTAGGTGATTGTAAACCTGAGTTTGAAAGGCAAATGATTAAGAATCTCCTTTTTCAATCCAATTTTATAAACTCAAAACAGAAACGAAGTGGGCTTGGTATCTGATAGTTTCTTCAATAGCTATGTGGTTAAAATACTAACAGTGTAGGCTCTATGAAGAGAAAAAGCAGAGAATAAGGCAGACCTGTGGGCAGCTGTCAGCACACACACTGAAGTGGTTGTGCTGAAATCTGAGGGCCAAATAGGTTGATGGAGATGGGACAGGGTGAATCCCAGCTGCCACTAATTATTTTCCCCCTAATCTATATTTTCATATTTACCACAACATAAGTCAGTTTAGCTAGTAGCTGCTAAATTGGTAGAGTCGTGATGTTTATGCTTTTCAGAGTCTCTACACATTTGCAGAATTCTGTACCATTCTGAACAATGACAGTCTGTCTCCCACCAGGCCAAGGTTAGCCAAGGATGAGTAGACGAGCAGACAAATGTCCTGTCTGACCACAGCACCTTTTCTATTTCAGACAAACGCCCCCAGTGAGCCCCATTTATAATTGAGTTTTATCATTTTTAAAACAATAAGGGCATTTGTAGAAGTGCCAATAAAAATAGAGCCTAGAAACTAAAATTTTGAAAATAGAAAAATATATGCCTTTAAAAAGTCAATAATAAATATTTCCTTTAAACACTATCTGCATTTCTCTATTAAAACTTTCTTTGACTTTCCATAATATATAATAAATGCATAATATATAATGAAATTAATTTGAAAACAGCAAGTCTTTGCCATTTTTCCTTGGTTAGACTAAAATGTTCAGGTCAATGTTTTTCTTCAAAATAAGTTTTAAAAATAATTAGTATAACAACCCAGACTTTCTTTTAACATTCAAAATATTTCAAAACAGGGTGTATCATCTTTTCAGAAACTTCAGAATCTACTTGTAAAAATAGTATTTGGTCAATGTGGAATATTCAATCCTTGAAATAGTTAAAAAAAAAAGTCCTAACATGAACTATTCAAAAAATTCTAAACCTCTATATATTTGAATATTAAAAATAATATAATTTTTTCTTATCTTGCCAACATGAAAATACCTTGACCAAAGGAATCCCACTCTGAATTAATATTGTTCCTGGGCTTGATTTTGGAAGTGAAGACTGTGAATTATTAGTTTTACAGCCTCTACGTTTCTCTGATGACTGATTTCTAAGGAAATGTTAGGTCTTTCCACATGGAAACTGTTATAAGATCAGAAAATCTCCTAAGGCCTATCTGCTGTCCAATTAAACTGAATCTGAACCACATGTTGATTTTAGAAGCTCTGTTGTATTTTGTTCTTTCCTCAAAAAGCAGTATCAGTTATACTATGCAGTAAGAAACATGCAAGTGATATCTAATCACATGGAACTTAAGTGGTCACTTCTGCCCTGTGCCAGCAGTGCCAAGCAGCTGTGGCCTGTCTTGTCCCCCTCCTGTGTCAAAATAATTTTCATTTTTCAGAAAGGGCTGAATTTAAAGAAAGCTGCTCAGTTTTAGATCATATCACAATTTCCCTCTTATTCAGAATTCTGATGTTTGAAGCCTGCAGATCTTAATGTTCAGTTATTTAAAATAGCTCTTCTGTTTGAATGCCTTATGGTAGCTTAACATTGACTAGTAAACTTGTTTCGACTCTCTTACAAAAGCCGTGCTGTTGGGGGGATCTGCAGCTCGCCTAACGTTAACAAGAAGCAACAGCATACACTGCATAGTAATTGCTTTACACTCATTAGCTTGTCTCCAACTTAAACTGTCATTTTGATTTATGACAGCTATATTTAGAATGATTATTAAGCATTTTGCATGTTTAGACTTTAGTATAACACTTCCCCAAAATATGAACACTGACATATTTATCAATTTTTGCATCAAAATGAGTTAAAATAAACTTAGTACATTACTGTAGGTAGTATAATACAGAGGATTTCCTTAACAGGAGAATACAACTATCTCGACAAAAATTCATTGGGTTCAAATTACAATTTCTATTGCCCCTCAAATGTCAAACTGAAATAAAAACATGGAGCCCACATGTGTTGAGCACCTCTGTCATAGACAAGTGCTGAATTCCTCACTGGGTAGAGCTCGAAGAAAAAGGCTTCCAGGCAGCACATGTGGGACCACAGGAACCTGGTGCGCCTGCGCACCTTGCCTGGAGCCTCACATCCCATGCTCCCTTCCCGTGGGAGGGGGAGCATGGCTGGTGGGTGCCGTGGAAGGAGAAATCGGCCTTGGCTTCATGGACACAGCTTCATTTTCTCTGAAGTGCTTGAAGAAAATGCCTGGACACAGCAACTGTCCACATGCAGTGGACAAGTGGGAAGCTTCTGTTGATCAGGGTGGCTTCTAGCGTTTGATCACGACTTGTTCATACGCACCAGATCCTACCCTGAAACAGCAGGAGGGAAAGACGTCACCACTTTGAGCTGCAGCGTTGGAATGGTTCTAAGCAGCAACACACTGTTTTTTTCATAGTACATGTTTTTTTTTTTTTCATAACATGCGTTTTTTTCCATGAACTATCTGAAGATTACTCTTATGCACAAATTTCAAAAAAATTGTTCACCAAAATAAATGTACTGCTTTATTTTATTTTCTAGGAACATTTTTTTTTCTTCTTTGTCCTGAAGTTCCCTTGTATAGGTACTGGGAGTGCATGAGGCCTTGCACCAAGTATATGATAATATTCTTCAGTTCTGTTGTTATCTTTTAAAAGATTATTTATTTATTTAAAAGGCAGAGAAAAGAGAGAGAAGAGAGAGGATGTCCTATTCTGATACACTCCCCAAACAGTAGCCAGGGCTGTACCAGGAAGCAGGAACTTGATCAGGGTCTGGAGGAACCCAAGTACTTGAAGCACCACCTGTGCCTTACTGGATGTCATTAGCAGGAAGCTGGGAGCAGGAGAGGACCCAGGATTTTAACTCAAGCACTCTGAAATGGGCCAAGGGCGTCCCAAGTGGTGCCTGTGATGCCTTCACATTGCCTTCAAGTGTCCATATGTGGTCAGCACTGTAAATTATTCCTGTGTAATGCAGGTTCAGAGAGAACGTGGCCTTTGAAGGACCTTGAATTCTTCACCAGTTTGGTGAGGCTGACCGTCAGTTGTCCCTTTAAATCTGTTCTCTCCTTCATGGTTGTATATGGGTACAGGCTGTTAGGCTAGAGCTGTATTTCCTAACCTCCCATACTTTGAAGATAATGGAAAATGGAATTAAAAGGTAAGTTAGTTTTGATGCAAAAAAATTTTTTTTGAAATATATACATAGTGTATTCAAGTTATGTGTTTTTGACAAACTTTTTAAACAGCCTCTGTAGATGTGACCAAACCTGTACTCTTTCTCCTATGTCACATGAACAGAAGAGATGTGCCAACTTCTACCCCGCTTGCTTAAAGGGAAGCTGCTTGGTGTGGACTGGGAGCAAACCAGCTTTGAGGGCACGGGCTATCAGGACATAAAGTAACCAAGTGGAGAGTCCCTGAGCCAGGGACTAGGCTTTGGGGGCACAGCTTTCTCTTCAGCCCGGCCCTTCTATTTCTGCTAAAGCAGTTTAGCCTTTACCCTAATATGCCTGAACCAACTGACTTCTATTAATGAATTCTGGAGTCTACTAAGAGAATTAAGATTTGCAAGCATTGTGAGCAAATTCTCAGTGAGTGCCCAAATGATGCTGGGTTTTCAGAACTTTCCTCGGTGTGTATGTTAAGCTGTATGCAGTGGGGGAAGGAGCGTGCAAGACAGTTTGGCATCAGCTTATCTTGCTGAGAGGTCGCCTAACTGCTAACAACAGGTACGTGACTCAAAACGTAACACTGTTTTGCTCTTCTAAAGACTAAGAACTTTGTTCTAAATTAAATTTTTTTTTAAAGATTTATTTTTATTATTTTTTCATTGGAAAGGCGGATATACAGAGAGGAGAGACAGAGAGGAAGATCTTCCGTCCGATGATTCACTCCCCAAGTGAGCGCAACGGGCCGATACTATGCCGATCCGAAGCCAGGAGCCTCTTCTGGGTCTCCCACGTGGGTGCAGGTTCCCAAAGCTTTGGGCCGTCCTCGACTGCTTTCCCAGGCCACAGGCAGGGAGCTGGAAGGGAAGCGGGGCTGCCGGGATTAGAACTGGCGCCCATATGGGATCCCGGGCGTGCAAGGCGAGGACCTTTAACCACTTGCGCCACCGCGCCGGGCCCTAAATTAAATTTTTATTTTGCAAATTAATGCTCCAACTGTCTCTTTACTGATATATTCGAAGAATACATATAAGGAAATTAACAAATTAACTTGCAAAAATATAATGCAAAGATAGAAAGCCTGGGCAGGTGTTTGCACCGCACCTCAAAATGTCTGGGTTCAGTGTTCACCTGTGGCTCCTGTCTGTCAGGGCAGATCCTGGGAGGCAGTGTGATGCCTGCAGTGACTGGGTGACTGTCACTCACGGAGGAGACCTGGATTGGGTTTCCTGGTGTCAGGCTTTGGCCCTCGCTCAGGTTTGGCCATCACAGGAATCTGAGTCATGAACTGGGAGATGGGAACTTGCTCTTTCTGTCTCTCTATGGCTTTCTGCCTCACTTTTTATTCGTTGCTTATCAAAGAAGTTGATTACAATACTTTCAGGGGCAGGCAAAGCGGCAAAACAGGCTAATCCTCTGTCTGCAGTACCAGAATCCCATTTGGATGCCAGTTTGTGATCTGGCTGCTCCAATTCTGATCCAACTCTCTGATAATGGCCTGGGAAAGCAACAGAGGACGGCTCAAGTCCTTGGATCCCCTGGCCTAATGTGGGAGATCCAGAAGAAGCTCTTGGCTCCTAGTTTTGGACTGGCCTGGCTCTGGCTGTTGCAGCCATTTGGGGAGTGAACCAGTGAATGGAAAGACCTCTATCTCTAGCTCTACTTCTATCTTCTCTTTCTGTAATATGTGCCTTCCAAATAAAAATAAATAAATCTTTAAATAAAAATTGAAAAAGATATATAGCCAGAATAAGGGAAACTGAGCTACAGTTCTTCTCTAGTAATTTCTAGTGTTTATACTCTCTAGCACCTGTCTACTGAAAACATCGCAATTGTCATTCACAGGGGCATTTTTTGAGAGTCAGTACATACTCCTTAAGATGATGACTGGATTACATACCTATTTGGAAGATGATGACTGCCAAAGGTTGTTCTTCCCCCGGGACCCACAAACAACCTCAGTCCTTCTTCTGCAACACACAATCAAAATGCCTGTTCTAAGTACCATTATCAGAATTTGGTGAAATAACATTCATTGTAATAATTCATTTTTTTTACATTCCAACTTGTTAAAGAAATACTTAAAAGATTAAAATTCTATACATGTTTTAGAGCAGTTATTTCAACTCCCTGAAAGTTCATTTTAAATGCAGGAATAAAGATAGCTCTTCCTTTAATTATTTCTCCTTATAACAAGTTACATAATGAGACAAAGTCCATTGTTAACTATACTATGTTTACTTTAGAAAGAGTAATTACACCTTTCAAATGGGTGGCATATAAATGTTTAGTTTTGGGGAAGAAGCTAAAGAGGGCATGTGAGGGGTTCTGTTTGTTACCATTGTTTCAAAACTACTACCCTTGCCTTCCAAATTATCCCGATGGCTTACAGTGTTCACAACAGATGCAGATAAAGCAGACAGTGAGCCACTATTAAAGACCACTCAAAGCCTCTTTACAACGCATCTTTTTTTAACTAAAGCTTGCTGTTTTTCCAAGTGGAATATTTATTCCCAGAAATAAACAAGCTGTAAGTTCTCTGGAGATTTTTCAATCTTTTTTTTGGTGGGGGGGCATGGAGGAGACTTGCAAGGATTTTATAAATAAGCAGCAGTGAGTATTATGGTGCACTGCCTCTTTTTACTGCTGACCACCTGGACTGGTCACACTTGCATTACAGTACTGTTTACTGAATGGTGAGATAGCTATACACCTTCCCACCTGGATAATTCACACCTGTATTGTAGAACTGTTCACTGAACGGTGAGCTACACACCTTCTGCACTGGAGTCCAGCGTGAAGTCTTGGCTTTGGAGTATTTTCTCTACAATATCATCAGCATCCACTCTGGTGTCATCAACTCGCTTCAGTTGAGATTCCACAGAATCTTGTTTCATTGGGCATCTTTGGGGGAGAATTAAATTTTTCCTCCTTTTTTATTACGTTATGTAAACAAAGGATGTGTGTAATTTAAATTTATCCTTTAAACTAAAAGAGTACCTCGAAAATTTTTCTGCAGCCACATCTTCTTTATCAGCTGTCTCAAGATGGGGTTCAGTTACTTTTTGCTCAATCTCATCACATGGTTCTAGAATACTTTCAATTCCTGTTGATGTACTTCCTACTGAGGTATTTCTTCTGTGGCACAGCTCAGAGAAACTGGATGACCGGGAGTGACATGAACTATAACCTGTAAGAGAAAACCACTTTGGGTATAAAAATAAAATCAAATTTCTGGCAATTTAACATCTTTCTCCTATATCATAGCAATTTCTAGTCCCTTTGAAACAATCAACAATTAAATTTCCCTGTTAGTCTCTACCTGATACTTTTGACTGCTGGCTTGCATAGCTTGATGTTCTAGAATGTCCACAGGCACCGAGTTCATCTGGAACAGAGGTACTCTTTGCTGAAAGATCTGTAATATGCCAGACCATGACGTTACAATGATTGCCAACAAGTTAATGGTCTTTCTGTATTCTAATCTGCAGACTTTGTGAACTGAGACATTCATTTTCAAGAAGAATGAGATAAAAAGTAACAGCTCTTTAGTACAAGGGAAACAACCATACTGAAAAAAATGCATAGTGCTTCTAAACACTTTTGCTCACTGAGGAACTGCACTTTCCTTAACATTAACACTGCTTTTCCCTTACAATCACTAGTTTTTGTGTTGTCTTTTTTTAAATACAGATGAATCAGTCTTGTATAGATTATTTTTAAATTTAGTAATAAATTCATTATAGCAGTTGGCATCCCTTAGGAACACTGGTTTAAGTCCCAACTGCTACATTTCTGATCCACCTCCCGGACAGCTTCCTGAGAGGAGGAGTGGAAGACGGAAACAGTCCTTGTGGATGAAGCTCCTGGTTTTGGCCTGGCCCAGGCCTGGCTTTCACAGACATTTGGGGAGTGAACCAATGGGTTTGGATCTCTGTCTCTCCCTCTCTCTGTAACTCCGTCTTTCAAATTAATGAAACACATTCTTTTTTTAAAGATTTATTTTTTTATTTATTTGTTTTTATTGGAAAGGCGGATATACAGAGAGGAGAGACAGAGAGGAAGATCTTCCGTCTGATGATTCACTCCCCAAGTGAGCACAACGGGCCGATGCTATGCCGATCCGAAGCCAGGAGCCTCTTCTGGGTCTCCCACGCGGGTGCAGGGTCCCAAAGCTTTGGGCCGTCCTCAACTGCTTTCCCAGCCCACAGGCAGGGAGCTGGAAGGGAAGCGGGGCTGCCGGGATTAGAACCGGCGCCCATATGGGATCCCGGGCGTGCAAGGCCAGGACCTTAACCACTTGTGCCACTGCGCCGGGCCCATGAAACACATTCTTTTTTTTTTTATTTTTTTAAAGATTTATTTTTATTATTTTTTCATTGGAAAGGCGGATATACAGAGAGGAGAGACAGAGAGAAAGATCTTCCTTCCGATGATTCACTCCCCAAGTGAGCACAACAGGCCGATACTATGCCGATCCGAAGCCAGGAGCCTCTTCCGGGTCTCCCATGTGGGTGCAGGTTACCAAAGCTTTGGGCCGTCCTCGACTGCTTTCCCAGGCTACAGGCAGGGAGCTGGAAGGGAAGCGGGGCTGCCGGGATTAGAACCGGCGCCCATATGGGATCCCGGGCGTGCAAGGCGAGGACCTTTAACCACTTGCGACCACCGCGCCGGGCCCGAAACACATTCTTAAAAATGATGATTTTTGGGCCTGGCACAGTAGCCTAGTGGCCAAAGTCCTTGCCTTGCACGCGCTGGGGTCCCATGTGGGTGCAGGTTCTATTCTTGGTGGCCCTGCTTCCCATTCAACTCCCAGTTTGTGGCCAGAGAAAGCAGTTAAGGACGGCCCAAAGACTTAGGACCTGCATAGGAGACCTGAAAGAGACTGGGATCCTGGCTTTGGGTTGGCAGAGCTCCGACCATTGTGGCCACTTAGGGAGTGAATCATCGGATGGAAGATCTTTCTGTCTCTCTTCCTCTCTGTATATCTGACTTCCCAATAAAAATAAATAAATCTTTAAAAATTCCATTTTTATGAAATAAAAAATTGCCAGATTTTAGTATGGCTCTTGAGGAATTCTTGCCTTCTCAAAAATGTATCACAAGCAATAAACCAAAGAGTATTTTTTAACTTTAATTTTTAAAAAATGTTTATTTATTTGGAAGGCAGTTCAGGTGTCTTCCACTTCCTGTTTGACTCCCCAAATGGCCTCAATAATGGGGTAGGCCAGACTGAGTTGGGAGCATGGAACCCCATTGTTTCTCCTGCATAAAATGGCAGGGGTCCAAGCACTTGGGCCATCTCCCACTGTTTGCCCAGGAGTATGAGCAGGGTGCTGGATCTGAAGTGGAGCAATCAGGACTGGAACTGGAGCTCATATGGGATGCTGTTGTTGCAGGCAGCAGCTTAAAGCACCGTGTCACAGTGCCAGCCCTTTTTATTTAATGTTGGTATTGCGAATAGCACTCTACAATTAGGGCAATATCTGCGTCTAAAATCAACCCAGCCTGGAATACAGCTCGGAGAATAAAAGTTTTTAAGAAAATTTCTACTATTCCATCTCAAAGTATATGAACCAAAAATTAGTGTCAAAGGTATTTCTAGTAGTCCCCTGATCTACTGCATGTTTTAGTTGTAGTCACATGTAAATACAGAGCTGTGACCAGTGAAATATCTTGAAACTAAAACCCCTTTAAACACAGAAGCAAACAGAAAGCAACTGAGTAATGCACTATTATAGCAGCAGTTCTAGAAATAATAATGATTGCAGCTGAACAACAAATCATGCCAAACAAGTAAGGTATTGGGGCAACTTGGTCCTTCTGCAAGGTTCCTCATTTTTGGAAAGATCCTAAGTATCCCAAGCATCTGGTCTTAAATCCAAAGGTTAGCACCTCCCAAAAGTCAAAGAATTGGTTCATATCAAGAAATACGCAGACTTAACTCTTTACTCCTGGGTTTGGTTCAGATCTTAACTCATTCCTTTATCTTTCATTTTCAAAGTTCATTTATTCAATAAATATTTATTAAGCTTTCACTCCAATTGCCTAACACAGCACAAGTATAGGGGGTACAAAATAAATAAGAAAACACATATGCTTAGAGTTCATGGGTAGAAGTAAATAGACAGAATACAATATAGCAAGTACTAAAATATAAGCATTGGGCGGCAGGGGCATTGTGGCACATTTGGGTAAACATAGCTTGGTATGCTCACATTCCGGACTGCAGTGTCTGGGATTGAGGGCAGCCTCTTCCTCTGATCCAGCTTCCTGCCAGTGCACCTGAGAGGCAGATATCACCTGAACCATCCACTCAGATTAAGTTTCAGGCTCTGGTGTTGGCCTGGTCCAGTCTCTGCTGCTGCAGGCATTTGCAGCGTGAACAAGAAAGTGAAGATTTTTTTTTCTGTCTTGTTTCTTTCTCTCTGTGTTGCTCTGCCTTTCAAATAATTAAATAAAAACCCTGAGATGGGCAGATGACTGCTGACAAAGAAACTTCTGTAAATCTAAGGAAGGAAATGTTCAATGGGTTTATGTAAGGGTGTGACATACCAAATTTATTTCGGAAAGATCACTTTAGCAACAGGCTACCCAAGGGGTGAAGGAAGGTTTCTGTAAAAATCCAGCAGTGTGAGAGAGGTGTCACAGGCACAGTGACAGCACTCAGCTACTGACAAGTTTGTGGCAGGAAAACTAAGATAGAAATTGTGGTAGGCATCAACAACGCCCAACCAGTCACACTGTGTAACTTCAATAAATTTTCTAGTAATCACATTACAGAAAATAAAGAGGTGGAACTGTAATCATATAATTTCTATTACAAATATATTTCAATATGTGATCAACCAAAAATATTGATGGAAAAATGGGAGGAAGAGTTAGGAGGTCTTGGGCTAAAGATGTGGAATTTGACATATGAGATGTCCATCTACCACTCATTGGATTTCAGTTGGAGGAAGGTGTCTGGGCATCCTGTTTGAATTTGGATGACAAAGTTAGGGAAATCCACCACCCGTTATGCCTCTGCAGATTTGAGGCTCTGCTTCACCAACTTTCACCCAGTTTTCATCCTGTTACCAGGCCTACAAAATGTTCCAGGCTGCTAGCTCCCACGGTTTGCTTGAGCCAATTCTTATAAAATTTATTGAAAATCCAGACCAGAATACATCCTGACATGAGAAACTGGTAGGATTATGGGGCCCTTGAGCAAGCTGCAATCTGCCTAGACTTAAACAGAACAGGAGAAACTTAACAGGGTGAAGGGGGAATCTGAATGGTTTCCTCAGAGGGAATTAAACCGGCATTTCTTCTTAACTGGTAAACTCTCACACAGAGAGGATTTGGGCTTGGGACATTCTCCTCCTTGGTAACATTCCTACCAATCCTAGCTCCAAGGGACAAAGGAAGTCTCAGGCCTCTAACAAGGTTTAAGTACTCCCATGTTCCTATAAGTATTCTAAGGGTTTGTTCCCACTCAACTACCAAGAGTGACCAGCTAACACCTTGAGATCAGCAAGAGGCTCTGACAGAATCTACTTTTGAAAGACATTTGGGAAAAAAAAAAAAGATTCTGAAAGGAGGGGGAATCTTCTACCCTCAACAGGGAGAGTTCTTCACTTACGGAGACACACAGCCTGGACAGGTGCTCCGGAAGTCCACCAGACCTCTTAATTTATGGGTAAATGCCAACCAGGACACTGGCTGGGATGCCTGTGTCCGTCCCGTATCAGAGGGCCTGACTTGGTGCCCAGCTCCTGATGCCAGCTTCCTGTTGATGGTGCAAGTGGGTAGACTGAGCTCTTGACTCAGGGCTTTGGCCAGCATGAGTATTGTTGCTTTGGCCAAACACAGGTATTTGTGGATTAAGCCAGAGAACAGAAATTCCTTCTATTTCAAACAAACAAATAGAAATGGTACCAACTACATGTTTAGTGGCATTTTTGTGATAAACTTTCCCCCTCTACCTCAGTGCTCATACTCCTTTGGACAAACTTGGTTATCCCTTTTAAGAAACTCATACTTAAACTAAAAAAAAAAAAAAGTAAAAAGGAGTCAGAATTTACTGAATCTCATTATGTTGGGGGTACAAAGACAAACAGATTTGATAATAAAGAACTTAATGTGGAGGGGAAGAAAGAAAAGCAAATTTCCATGTAACATGTGGCATGGATTCTGCAAAAAGCCTTCACAGACATGTACCTGCAATTCAGTGGGGAGGAACTGAGGCAACACAAACTTGTGAATTTACACTCACTGGTAGTTAAATCCAAGGGTACAGATGACACTGCCCAGGAAAGTGAGTAGATGGGACCAAATCCTGTGTTCCAAAGAGGAAGTCGAGAGGAGGAAGAGATGGAGCTAGAAAAGGAAAGGTTAGACAGGGGGGAGCCTAGGGAAGAAAAAGCTTCAGGAAAGAAAAAGTATCCAAGTCAGATGAGGACAGGAAAATGTCCCCAGGACTGGATGATCATGAGATATCACCATGGTGGGGAGCGGGGAGGAGAGGACAGAAATCAGATGGCAAAGGCGTTTAAGTGCAACTGGACTGTATATTCTTCTCAGAAGTTTGGCCATAAAAAGTGTGTGATACATGTACCATTTGTGACCTCTCTCTCTCGCTCCACCAGATACATATGCAGAGGGAGAGGTGGGAGAGAGAGAGAGCATACGAGCCTACTGGAGCCTAGGGAAGAACAGAAAGATAGAGACGCTAATAAGCTTTTGCTTTTATTTATTTTTTTAATACTGGAAAAAAATTCAGAATAATTTAATGTTGAAAGAATGGAGAGAACGGAAAGGTTGAAAGTATAAACGATTCACAGATCCTAAAGCAGGAAACTTCACAGTCACTGCTAAGGTGATGAAACTTTCACCATGTTACGTCACCTTTCTTTCCATTCTGTCAAATATATCCTGTTCATGTAACGTGAGTCTCTAAGTGTTTTGCCTCAGCCAACTTGACTTTTTCTCTATTCTGCTTTTAAAAACATTCAATATTATTTTTATTGTAAAGACAAAGAGCTAAAGAGACAGAGAGCGATTTCATCTTTTGCTTTACTCATCTTTTACTTTTGCAACAGCTGAGCTGAAGTCAGGAGCCCAGAACTCAACCAGGGTCTCCCAGGTGGGTGGCAGGCGCCCAAGTACTTGAGCCATCACCTGCTGCCTCCCACGTGTGTATCAGCTGATTGAAAGTAGAGCTGGGATTCAAACCTGGAAAATCTGGTACAAGATGCAGGTTACCTAGGTGGGATCCTAATCTCTGTGCCAGTGCCCGCCCCTTGTGTCCTAATTTTGACTCCTGGAGCAGATTTTGACTGTTGCTGGAAGCATGTCTGCAGAAGTGGATCTCAAGGTGTGATCTAGTGACCAACAGTACCAGTATCACCTGGGAACCATTGGTGATGCAAAATGTCAGGCCCCAACTCAGACCCACCGAATCAAACCTCTTGGCTGTTGTCATCAGCAGTCTGTGTTTTAAATAACAATCTGATAGACACAGGCCTGAGGACCACCGAAAGGGAAATGTGATTCCTGGAAGAGAAGTAACACCTGAGAGGTGACTGCTGCAAGCTGTTGGACCTGTGGAATGGGGAAAATCCTGCAGTATTTTGTTGTATTTCTGGGGACTAAATGTATGTAATTAGGCAGGGTATCATTGCAACATTTAGCTTTCAATGTGTCAGAGCACAACATTTTTTTTAAGATTTATTTGAAAGTCAGAGTTGTAGAGAAAGAGGGAGAAATGAAGAGGAGGAGAGGCAGTGTGGGGTGAGCAACAGAGGTATCTTGCATGTGTTGGTTTACTTCCGAAATGGCTGCAACAGCCAGGGCTGAGCCAGGCTGAAACCAGGAGCCAGGAGCTTTACGCAAGTTTTCCATGTGTGTGCAGGGAGGGGCTCAAGGGGCCATCTTATATTGCTTTTCCATTTCTCCAGCAGGGAGCTGGATCAGAAGTGAAGCAGCCAGGATATGAATCAGCACCCGCATGGAGTACTAGTGTCAGAGATGGTGGCTTTACTTACTATGCCATAATACCAGTTCCTAAGCACAACGTCTTAGACAAAATAAATCATTGCCTTAACCAAGAATTGCATGATTAAAACTCCACTGGTTTTCATTGGCCCATGTTAAGTCATATGACTGGAAGAGTTTTGGGAATCTTCCAGGACAGCAAGTAGTACTGTTTCTGATAAGATAAACCAACAAATAAACAAACAAAAAACAAAACAAAACACAGTGAGTTGTACAGCCATACCTGCAATTCCAAGATGGACTTTCAGGGTCTCTCCACCTTTCCTATCTTCTTGCAGAAACTCAGGCTCACCAGCAATTGGTATAGATGTTGATGTAGATGGAGGTCTGTAAATACACATTACTGAAGATCAAAATTTCAGTAATCGGTGAGTTTGAAAAGTTTAAAATACTGGTGCAGATCAGTTATACAGCCAGGACATAATCTCACCACAATGCTGCCTGAGAATGTTATCCTTTTGAAGTGGAAGTTATAAAAATCAAATACTTGCATCCCTGCCACCGACACGGGAGCCCCAGATTGAGGTCTGGGCTCCTGGCTTTAGGCTGGCTCAGCTATTGCTAATGCAGGCATTAAGGAGTGAAATAGCACGCGGAAGATCTCTCCCAAATGTTTCCATCTCCCTCTCAAATAAAAGTAATAAAATTAACAAAAGATACATAAGAATCTTTTCAGAACTTGTAACAGTGCAGAACAGGCATGAGGCCTCCCTGGAGTGGGGCAGCAGGCTTCACACTCTTTGTCTCTGAGACTGGGACAACAGCACGCCTCATGCTCGAGACTAAGCTCGCTTGTTGGCTCCACTAAACATATGGTTTTATCTTATACCTTCTCTGTAAGGAGCTCACCTCCCCTTGGGAAAATCTCCAGTTTCATTTGTTCAGCTTTGCTTTTTCGGCTGGATTCTGTGGGAGTAGGTGATAGATCTGTTTTTCACTGGTCAAACCAAAGCTCCTATTCCATGTGGAAGCTGGGAAGCCAGGAGGGGCAAATCTGTCAGCTTTCTGTTTGCATCCTCCTACTGACAAATTTCAAATCTCATTGGTTTTCTTTTAAAATTTTTTCCTATTTATCATTTGCTCTCCACACTCACTAACTCCTTAAGCTGTCCTCTACATTTCTCCTCTGACCTGCCCAAGTCATAGCATGCTACAGAGGCTTTTTTTTTTAATTAAAGATTTATTTTTATTATTTTTTTATTGGAAAGGCGGATATACAGAGAGGAGAGACAGAGAGGAAGATCTTCCGTCCGATGATTCACTCCCCAAGTGAGCACAACGGGCCGATACTATGCCCTGACCCGAAGCCAGGAGCCTCTTCTGGGTCTCCCACGCGGGTGCAGGTTCCCAAAGCTTTGGGCCATCCTCGACTGCTTTCCCGGGCCACAAGCAGGGAGCTGGAAGGGAAGTGGGGCTGCCGGGATTAGAACCGGCGCCCATATGGGATCCCGGGCGTGTAAGGCGAGGACCTTTAACCACTTGCGCCACTGCGCCGGGCCCTACAGAGGCTTTTAAACTTTGATGTAATGACATCTCTCTTTTAAAATATTTTATTTATTTGAAAGGCAGAGACAGAAAGAGCAAGAATTAGAGAGAAAGAGAGCACGAGAGATTTTTGTCCATTTACTAGTTCACTCTCCTTAAGTAGCAACTATAGTCAGGGATGGGTCAGGCAGCAGCCAGGAGAATGTGGGTCTCCCACAGGTGTGGCAGGGGCCCAAGCACCTAGACCATCTTCTGCTGCTTTTCCAGTGCATTAGCAGGGAGCTGGATGAGAAGTGGGGTGGTCAGGCTTGAACTGGTACTTCAACATGGCATGAGAGCAGTATAAGCTGTGCCTTAGCATGGTCCCATCACTGTCTCTCTGAAGTATGCCTCAGTGCCTATTACTTTATGTAAAACCCTTCTGTCATTCCTTGAATGTAAAAACACACACACTTAAGTGGGCAAAGTAAGCGGTGGTTTAACAGGCTGTGCCACAACACTGACTCCAATCCTTACCTTTTTAATGCCAGGTCGTTTGCCTGGTCACAGTGCCTCCATCCTTCTACCTCTCAGGTCCACTTTCCAGTCTTCCAGAACTCCCTAGGTCCTCCTCTTCTCCCTGTTGCTCTTCACTAGGCATTACCGCCTTCCATTTGACAGCCTTGTTCACTATCAAGTGGAAAGTGGTAATGGCCAGAGCTTGTCCAAGCTAAAGTAAGGGCCAGGAACTCAATATGGGTGGCAGGGACTCAAGTGTTCAAGTCACATCTGTTGCCTCTTCCTGGTGCGCATTAGCAGTAAGCTGGGACTCCAGTATGGGATACAGGAGTCCAAAGTGGCACTTTTTGGGGGGGAAAGGGGGTTAGTGATCTACCTACCTATGTACCTGTGTATTTGAAAATCAGATTGTAAGAGAAAGACACACAGAGATCTTCCATCTGCTGGCCCACTCCTCAGATGGTTGCAATAGCCAAGGCTGGCTCAGGCAGAAACCTGGAACTCCATCTGGATCTCCATTAAAATGGACTACAGCTGCTCTACTTCTGATTTAGTTCCCTGTGAATGTGTCTGTTTTCTGCAGCACTTCAATATAGAATGCCAGTACTGCTCCAACATGGGATGGGAGCAGCTTACCCTGTTGTGCTTCAACATTAGCTTCCCCAGGTGGCATCTTAATGACTGTGCCAAACATTTGTCCCTACACCAAAAGTTTTAAAATTGGCTTCATCAAGATTCCTTAGGTATGGTTTAGTACTCAACAGGAAAAAAATCTTACAGACTGGAATTCTTAATACATTTCAGCCTAGGATTTTGTGACTAAATATTCTCTCTGGGGCCAGCGTTGTAGGGCAGAGAGGGTAAAGCCACTTCCTGAGAGGTAACATTCTACAGTGACACCAGTTCATATTCAGCCTTTGATCCAGCTCCTGGCTAACGGTCTGGGAAAAGTAGTCGATGATGACCAAATACTGGGGCCCTTGCTGCGCACAGAGGAGACCTGGAAGAAGCTCCTGGTTTTGGCCTGGTCTAGTCCTGACTGCTTCAGCCAGCTGGGGAGTGAGCTAGAAGACAGTCAATCTCTGTCTCGCCTCTCTCTGTAGCTCTTTCAAATCAATAACTTAAAAAACTCGCCCTCCTTTATAATTCAAAAAGCAGAAACAGAAGAGAGAGAGAGAGAACATCCAAGAGGGGGAGAGACTGAGAGCAAATGGAAGAGCAAGCAAGACAGCACTGCTATCCCTGAAATGCCCAGAGGGCTAGGACCAGGCTGCTCTGAAACTGCGAGTTCGAATCCAGTATCTGTACTACACGTAGGTAGCAGAAAACACTCTACAAGTCATTGCACTTGCTACTTCCCAGGGTCTATACTGGCAAGTAGCTGGAATTGGGAACCAGACTCAGGCACTCTGACAGAGCACGCTGGCATCCTAACAAGGGCCCTCACCAGAGCCACTACTGGCTAAATAAAGGAGAGCAATTATCCCTGCTTTCCTTCTGCCCCTCAGTAAGCAAGTATGAGAGTCTCTGTCCCATCTTAACAATAAACTAAACCTGCTCTACTCAATATCCTTTCTTTATTGAGGACCTCATATTTACACTCATTTTATTTGATTATTTTTATTGGAAAGACAGATATACATAGGAGATAACAGAGAGAGATATTTTCCATCCACTTGTTTACTTCTCCCCAAATTGAGCTGATTCAAAGCTGGGAACTAAGAGCTTCTTCCAGGTCTCCCATGTGGGTGCAGGGTTCCAAGGCTTTGGGCCACCCTTTACTGCTTTCCCAGGCCACAAGTAGGGAGCTGGATGGGAAGTAGAGCAGCTGAAAAATGAACTGGCAGATGTAGGGTGAGGAGTTAGCAACTGGGCTATAAGGTGGGCCCTTCTATTCCTTTTAATACATATTTAGCAAAGTTCTTTATATGACTTGTTTATACTCAAAGTTGCTAATATTTTCCAAAATTCCCTTAGCCCACTTGGTAACACCCAGCTGGGTGATAACTGGGGTCTCAAATGCCACATGTTTGCGACCCAAGCTCTCAGCTTGTTCCTCTTGCAATCTGTCTCATGTAAGACAAACACCATTCTTCCAGTTTCCCAGGCCCAAATCTTGGGTTTCTGAAAGTCTCACCTACCTATTTCTGTCCTCGTTCCCTTTGTTGATCTCTCAGATCGTCTACTTCCTATTTTGCAACCCTAAACGGGGTAATTTTACTCCTCTGTTGAAGACCTACATTAACTTTTGTCTCACTGGGACTTTAAGTGGAAGTTATTATGCTAATGGTTTACAAGACTATCTGGCCTCATCTTGTATTATCCTCTTTTTCACTCATTCTGCTGCTAAACATGTCGATCTCCTGGCAGTTAACTTGAACATACCACGAACACTCCCCTCTCGTCCTTTCCCCTTTACTTTGAATGCTCTTTCCCCATATAACTGTACGGCCTGCTTCCCACCTCCTTGGGTCTCTACCCAAATATCATCTTGTCATGGTCATCCCTGACTACTGGACACAAAGCTGCAATATTTCTCTCCATCATGGCCCTGCTACCATCTCTTATTTTTTTCTACAGCATTTATCACTATATTTAGATTTATTTACTTGAAAGGGAGAGTTGGAGACTGAGAGAGGGAGAGACATAAAAGGGGAAAAAAATTCATCCACTGGTTCACTCTGCAAATGGCCACAACAGCTAGGGCTGGGTTAGGCTGAAGCCAAGAGCCTGGGACTCCATCAGAGTCTCTCGTGTGAGTAGCAGGGGCCCAAACACTTCAGCCACCTTCCGTTCCTTTTCCAGGCATTTCAGCAGGGAGCTGGATCAGAAGAACAGCAGTCAGAACTCAAATTAGTGCTCATATGAGATGCTAACTTCACAAGCAGCAGTTTAAGTCACTGTGCCACAAGGCTGGCACCATCAGTACCACATAAATATTATTATATATTCACTTGCTTATTTTCCTCTTACATTTTCTTAAGATACAAGCTCCCAGATGGCAAGGATACGTTTTGTCCATTGCTATTTCTCTAGTAACTAAAATAGAACCCTAATAGGTATTTGTTGAAGAAAGGAATACATTCACAGAAGTCAAATACAAATTTTCAGTTTGTATGATTTCACCCAAACCTGAAGATGGCTTAAATAATTTATAGTGTGGAGGACTCATTTAGTAAAAGGTAAAAGTAACTTAAATGTAGGACAGGTCGGTCTTCCAGTAAAGAAACTAACCCTTCACTGGTATTCACCCACAAACATCATGAAATAGTACTGCAAAACATTTAAAAAACAAATCTACATTATAGTTTCAGATAAATAATCCAATTCTTGGGCATCAACTTACGTTTTAAAACATGGATCACCAGACATCAGCTGCATACTTATTAAAACCTAAACACAAAAATAAGAAATATGATTATATGAAATTTCTTAAAAGCAGAAGCCATGTTCTGCTGATCTATGCTTACATAATACATATTGTGATATTTCTATTTAGAAAGCATTAAATAAAATGATTGCTGAATTGGATTATGCCCAATGTTAAAGAATTCCTTCCTTTAGTTACACAGTCTTGTGTTGCATAATACTGTCTCTGTTAGTGACAGACTGCATACAGGATGGTGCTCCTATAAGACAACTGTCTGGTGACTCTATAGCCATCTCAATTTGTGTCACAATGACAAAAGCACCTAACAGCGTGTTTTCAGGAATGTTTCCTCAAGGAAGCATCATAGCATGGTGGGCAAAGCTGCCACCTGCAATCCCTATATCCTACATGTGTGCTGGTTTGAGTCCCAGCTGCTTCACCTCCAATCTAGCTCCCCACAAATGGCCTGGGAAAGCAGTGGTTAATGATCCATGTTTGGGACCCTGTTGCTCAAGTGGGAGTCTTGGATGTTGCCCCTGGCTCCAGCCTGGTACTGTCCTGGCCATTGGGTCATCAAGCAGTAGACCAGCAAATGGAAGATTTCTCCCTTTCTTCCTGTAACTCTTTGAAATAAGCAAATAGATAATTTTATATATATATATATTATAAACATATAATATATAATATATTTATATATTAAAAAGAATGCATCCTTATTGTTAAATTATGCATAAGTATATGGTAAAAATATTTTTTGAAAGTAAAAACCTTACAGTTGTAAAAGCCAGATTGGAAAAGATGGAATCAAAGAGCAAATGATTCACCTCAGCTGCCTGTGGGTAGGTAGCTGTGCTAATTCAGTTCATTTGCCTTTACTCCCAAGCATGAGTGTCTGATCGCCTGCCTATAACCTGCCACATGCATGTTTCAAGGGGCGCCTACTGGTGGTTTCTAAGAAGAGAAAGCTTCTAGCCTCTGTTTAAAGCCTCCCAAACGCTTTTTGAAATGCATTCCTTACTTGTTGACCACTTTTTAATAAACCACTGTAAGATCTTCTTTCCCCTTTGAATGCCAACATACCCTGCTAGCTTCCTTATCTCTTCTTTCATAGACCCCCTACATTTGGCTTCCAATATGTTAGAAAGCAGATGGAGAGAGAACTCAAAGCTTTTCAGAAACTGTGTAAGGAAGCAGAATAAAGAAATGGGATATTTATTTATGAACTTTTTTTGGATTACTAAGAATCATGGTTTAGGGGGGATTTGCAATTAGCAAACATGCCCCAGAGCAGATGACCCAGGTTTAATACCCACCTCTGGCTCTCAATTCCAGCTTCCTACCAACATAGTGCCTGGGAGGAAACAAGCAGCTGGGTCCTGTCACTTGAAACCTAGATTGAGTGCCTGGCTCCTGCTGTTGGCTTAGCCCAGTTCTGGCCGGTGTAGGCATTTGGGGTGTGAACCAGAGTACTGGAGTGCTGCCTGTCTCAAAAATTAAAATTCATAGTTTTAGATCTCATTAGTTTTTAACCTAATTTTTAACCTTTATTTACTTGTAAAAGACTTAGAGAGATATGCAGAAAGAGGGAGAGAGTGTAGGAGGGAGAAAGTGAAACAGGTAGATAAAGACAGAGAAAGAGAAGGAGAGAATGAATCACTCTTTATCTACTGGTTTATCCCTGAAATGGCTGCAATGGCCAGCACTAGGCCAAGCCAAATCCAGGAACCAGGAACCTTAGGTCTTTTGCATTGATGGCAGGGGCCCCAGTATTTGGGCCATCTTCTGCTGCTTTCCTAGGCACTTTAACAGGGAGATGGATCAGAAGTGGAGCAGTCAGGACCAGAACCAGTGCTATGCTATGGAATGTCAGAGTCACAGGCAGCTTAACCCAATATGCCAGAACAATGTATCAGCCCCTATTTCTTATTTTTTTAAAAAGGATATTTATTTATTTTAAAGAGAGTGACAGAGAAGGAGTGGAATATATATATATATATATATATATATATATAGAGAGAGAGAGAGAGAGAGAGAGAAAGAGAGTTCTTCCATCTGCTGGTTCACTCCTCAAATGGTTGAAATAGCTGGGGCTGGACCAGGCTGAAGCCAGGAGCCAGGAGCTCAGTCCAGGCCTCCCAGTTTGGTAGCAGAAACCCAACCGTTTGACCCATCACGGCTGCCTTCTCTGTGTATGCATTAGTAGAAAGCTGGAGTCAGCAGTTGTAGCCAGGAATCAACTCCAGGCACTCACACTCCAATATAGTATACAGGTGTCTTACCTGTAAGGCTAAATGTCTACCCCACCCATGCTTATTTGAAGGCAGCAACTCTCATTTGTTGCAAAGCAGATCTTGAAATGTGCTTACTTTAAGAATGGAGTTATCCTGTCTTGTATTTTTGGTATCATAGCCTTCCAATAAACAGCGACGGGTGGTATTTCCTGATCCAGCAAACTCTGCCAGGTTTAGATCTGCAAAGCCCAGCTATGAAAAGAAAGAGAATTATATTAATAGAATATCTAGCAGGTGTCTATCAGATTCTCCTTAAAATAAACATTCAGCATATGCCTTAGACAAGTTCAAGTGTATGGAGTTTTTGCCATTTTAATACTAGTCTACTTCATCTGCTTTATATGATTTTTAGATTGGTTCAATTTTCACATAAATATAATACAAATTCTATTCTTAAAGCAAGCAGATTTTTATGTCACAGATTTGATGTGCCGAACACATTCTTTCTATATACATTAAAATATATTACTGCTAGAATAAAAATAATATGATTCAATTCAAAATCATTATGAGTACCAGTAGTACTTACCCCACAATATGGAAACATTAGCAAATCCATCACTATCATTTGCACAAATAAAAGGAAAAATGTCAGATTCTGTCTATTCCAGTTCATGTTCTATGTTGAACTAACCATCTGGAACTGCAGAGAACTTCAGGGAGTTTCAGGTTCTTGAGTTCCCACTCTTCGTGTAAGAACCAGAATGATCTAAGTGACTCACATACTTTATTTACTACAAGCCTCTTTGCCAGCACTGCCTTCCACACGTTTGCCTTGCTGATCATCCTTGAGCTGAATCTCCCTTTATACAACCCACTTTCTCCCTTTCTCACAGCCCTTTCCCATACCAACCCCTTCTGCAGTTACCCAGCAGTTCAGCTCAAACCTATTCCTCCACATTACTATCCACATTACTATTTGGTTCTCATTTTCTGTAGCTACCAAAAGTTACCCTACCATTTTCCTTTGATGTTTCAATGTTTACTTTAATGTTCTCAATTGTTTCCCATTTCCAAGTGGCACAACAAATCAACCTCATTACAACATATTTTGGGGATGAACTAAGTCTACTCCACATAAGTAAGAATACATAGTTTTTTATTGATGACAATAACAAATGAAGAGTGTGAGATTAATTAAGTACATCTCTGTGAATATATAATAAAAATATTACACATTTTAACACTTCTGTGATTTTTAGGTTGCTTGATTTAAAGTTTAAAACACATAGTAGACATAAATAAATGACATTAAAGGGGCTGGGTGTGTAGAACAGTGAATCAAGCTGCCACTTGAGATGTCAGCATCCTTTAAAGGTGCTGCTTTGAGTCCTAGCTGCTCCACTTCCCATCTAGCTCCTTGCTAATACACCTGGGCTCAATACAAGAGGGCTCAAGTGTCCAGATTCCTGCTGTCCACATGGGAGACCAGGATGGAGTTCCAGGCTCCTGGTTTGGCCTGCCAGAGTCCCTGGCTCTTGAGAGTGAACCAGCAGATGAAGGTTTGTCTCTCTCTGACTAGCTGCTTTTCATTTACATAAAATCAGTTGTTGGGGAGAAAAAAAAAAAACAAATAATGGCATCAAAGATGAGGATTTTAACTACAGACCGAAGCAAGATTCTAATAGCTCTTAACTGGTGCAAAAAGGTACGAAGAATAAGAACTTAGGAGTAGTTGAAGCCTCAAATTCAGGTAAGGCAGACACACACAACCTCAAGCTACAATTAACATCTCGATTTCCACACAGATACTCTGGCTTATCACCTCTTTCAAGGGTCAAGGTGGGTCCTGAATGCACCAGGCACTGTTCTAAACAAGGAGAAAGGTGAGAACAAGACATTGGTTTTCCTTCAAGGTTTTGTTTAGATTCCCAGTGAGGTACCTTATGTTCCTTATGAATCTGTCATTGGCATTTACTGACATAACTGACTCAGAAAAATGTCATGTATACATACATACTGGCTGTATCTGTGGCACTTATTAATTCAAAAAATAATCTTCAGCACCTAGATTCCAGGTGATCTTAGGCACTGAAAATGAAGATCCATTCTTACTCTCAAGGTTTAATAAAGAAAGACAGAAAAAAAATCCCTATGATACAGTGTGATAATTGCTATAACAGAAAAGTCATCGATCTAAGAGAAAAGCTCAGCTCTCAGAAATAACTAACCTGAGATTAATGATACATGAGCTGATGGGACAAGAGGAGGCAGAAATATATGCATGGCAGGGAAAACAAGTCACAAGGCAAAGAGGCCAAAATAGCACGAGTTACTTCAGGAAGTTGATGCAGGCAGTGGGCCTGTAGTGTAAGGATGAGAGCCAGAGAGCGAGCAAGGGACACAGCAGATGACATAGCAGAGCTGACCTACAAACCAAAGTGGGTCTTGAATGCTAGGCTATGAGATTTTCATTTTCCTTTAAAGGCAATGAATTGCTTCTGGAGAATGAAAAGCAGGAAGATAATATGGTCATATCTTAATTTCTGAAAGGTTACTTTGGTAGTAATACAGAGGACAGGAGAAGATGAGAAAAGATTCTAAATAGAAGACTACAGCTGTCCATAAGAAATAATGAAGGCATGAACTAGAGGCCCTGGGGAAGGGAGAGAGGCATAGTTTTAAGAAATTTTTATGAGAATTTGTCACCCAAAGCAGACCCTCATCTGCTGAACATTCAATCTTCTGCTGTTCCTTGTTAGCAAAGCCCTGACTTAATCCAGCTGTCTAGTCTCCTTTGTCCTTTCAAGGTGTTCAAGGAAGGCAGCCCAATCTCCAACTCATACTTTAAAAATTGTGTTCTGTCTGTGCTAATCACGGCAAGCCATTCTGATTGTCCACAACTAGGGTAGGAGTAGGCAAAGGTTTTTTTTCTCACTAAATGTTTTGAAAAAGTAATATATGGAGCATGGAGAGGCAGCTAGGGTTTGTCATATGTGAACATATTGAGGAAAACTTAAAAGTGAGAACCTTGTTGTTAACAAGGGGAGCAAGTCAAGGACAAAGTTATCACAAAGAATGGAAGAATAGTAAAAGAGAAGTATATAGATTCTTCTGTGGTGGTTGTTTTGTTCTATACATTAGTTCATTAATTATGGGCAAATATCTCAAATGGTAAAGCTTCTACAGGTCTTTCAATTCCAAAGGCTGACTTCACTGTAAAAGCGGTGAGGTGTTACAGGCTCAGGTACCTTGAACCACTGCTTTCATGCAGGAATTCCAGCGACAGAGGCCACAGCTTGTCTCTTTGTCTAGGTTTAGCTGCAGGAGAAGCAAGATCAGTTGGCATACTGGCTGACTTTCAGTTTTTTTTTTCCCACCATTATGCAGGGAGAGGCAGTATGGAAGGTTCTTTTAGCCATGTTGCCCCCGAAAGGATTAACTATTCAGTGAGTTACTAATCTCGTAGCAGTTCTATCTTACATTCACTTATTTTGTGAGACTAAAGAAAAACCTGTTTGAGGAAAACTTTTTGTAACTTGCGACCAAGAACATCCTGACACAGCAATCAACTAGATTTAAGGGAGATAGGCAGATCTAGGGGTTAAAATTACTGTCTAACGTCCAGGCTCTCAGCTCAGGTGACCTGACTGATGGAGACACAATTCACAGAAACTGGAAATAGGAGTATACGGGTTTCCGGTAGCACAGGCTGAATATCCCTTATCAAAATGCTTAAGACTAGAGATGTTTTGGTATTTTGGAATATTTGCACACACATAGTTATATTAGGGGCTGGATCCAAATCTAAAAAAGAAATTAGTTTCTTGTATACCTTATATTCATGACCTGAGGGTTATTTAATAAATTTGAAATAATTTTGCATATGAAGCAAGATTTATGCGCATTGAGCCACCAGAAAGTGAAGGAGTCTGTATCTCAGGCAATCATATGGACCATCAGTGGTTGTTTCAAATCACTATCATTCCTGACCTTGAGCTTACTTCTACTGATAAACAATCACTTTTTAAAATATTGATTTATTTGAAAGGTAGAGTTACAGAGAAAGAGCAAGACAGAGAGCAATAGACAGAGACTGATAGAGACAAACAGACAGGGAGAGAGACAGCGGGGGAGAGATGGGATCTTGCATCTGCTAACTCCCACGTGAATGACAAGAGAGTACTTGGGCTACATTCTGCTCTTTCCTGGGCACTTCAGAATGCAGCTGGATCAGAAGTGGAATAACCAGGACTTACAATGGCACAAATGGGATAATGGGATGCTGCTTTCATAGATGGTAGTTTAACACTGGGCCCCAGAAATCATTCCCTTATCTTTCTTTATGAATAAATATTTAAGAGTGAAAATACGATATCCCATTAATATAGAGAAAATAATAATTTATTCAGGGTAATTGAGTAGCACAGCAGCATCCCCAGCAACAAGTAGGCTTTCAGTACCCACCTACGATGCTGTGTTTTGATTAACCAGTTATTATGCATTGTATGAATATTTACTTTTCTGTATGTGAGAAGAAACATCGGAACAGCTGAGGGACTGGAAAGTGCGTTCCCTAGGGATGACTCACCCTGCTGGAGGGAGTCTGAATTTATCAACCGACATAATTTCTGGCTCCGCAAATGCATGTAGCTCCAGTTCTTCAAAAAGCCTGCCACCACTTTCACTATATTGCCTATAGGCATTTGTTCTGCTATTATCATCAGCTTCAACAATACCTTGATTCAGAACCATTTAGGCTACTTCATCATTGGCTAATAATGAACAGTACAGACTAATTACCAGTGTATCAGTGCTAAAACCTATGATAGCCACTTGTTTTAGCTTACTAACAGACTATGAAGATGCATATTTTCTGTATGTAAGGAGGTCAGGCATCATTTTATTCTCACTTGTCACAGAGAATCCTTCAAAACCATTACCCTGTTCATCACCATCACTGTACATAACTGCAGGCCAGAGGTTGTACTAGGCACGCGCAACTGTGTCATTAGTTACAAGGACTGACACCAGAATATATGGCATCCTTAACGCTAAGCTCCCTTTAAAAGCCTTCCACATCTACATTTCTGTTTAATATTTCTAGTATGCTATCCTAGAAAGTGTCTATATATATTTAAGTGTTGGAAATAGGAGTCATCCCTATTTTAAAATTTATTTAATTTGAAAAGTGGAGAGAGAAAATGAATCTCCCATCTACCAGTTTACTCTCCAGATAACTACAACAGCTA